TCCCTTTCTTGTTTGGGAGTCTCATCAGTTTGCTTCTGCAAAATGGGCCCTGAGGCAGCTAACAAGGTCTTCAAAATTTTCCGAGGGCTGGTGTCATTACTGTCTTCCATTTGGCTTCTTGGGGTAGTTATTTTTCTTTTTTTCCAGCTTCCCTTACGTGACTTTTTTTTTTTTTTTTTTGGGAAAAGGGTGTCTAGCGATAAGCTTCGTTCCTCTTTGCATGCTCAAGACAGCTGTTGGTCTGTGTTCCTAACATGCCCATAACATTCCAGATGTGCCCAGATGTGGGGTTCCATTTCTTCCTATCTGGAATCCCAGTTTCAACATTTGTTTTGCAACCAACGATTTCCAGGAAGAAGTCAAAGGAAACTTATACAAACTAATGCTTTGTTTGTGCCAGGAATGAAAAGAAAGAAAGCTGTCTCGGGCCTGCGATGAAGCAAAACCATTTCACTGAGCAAAATATTAACCCCACCACCACCACCTTAGCTTAACCAAGGTCCCGCCACCAACTCCAGACAACAAAAGAAGATCGGATGGAACGCAGGGGAGACAACAGCCGTCTTATGAAATATTCTCAGAAAGTGGAAACATGAGAGTTTGAGTCACGACAGTGATAAATGAGACCAGTGATGAATGAGACTAGCCAGAGAGTCTCAAGGCTGGGAAAAACACACCAGGAACTATTTTTGTCTAGCTATGATTTCATGCTTCCCAGGCAGATTGTACCTACTGGTATTAATCTCCATGTCCATGCAGGCTGAGGATGATGGGAAATGTAGTGCAACACCTTTGCCTGCTAGGTGTTCAGAAGGTCTATAGATCCAGCCTCTCACAACCAGATGTGCCAAAGTGGAAGAAATTTTAAGAAGAATCTAATCTAAAATAATTTTGATAGGCCTAAGGGGAAAAAAGTATAATCTATTCACCGGGGATTTCACGAAGGCCAGATATCTGCCCAACTCTAAAAGACATATTTGCAATATTTTCCAATATTGCAAAGAAGCGACTTTTTTTACTCCTTCTTGCTTTACAGATCCACAGTGGAAACAAAAGAAAGAGAGTGTTGAAACCCGGCACTTAACTATTAAAGTTGTTTCAGTTGTTTTGTTTGAAAACTTCCCTCCTCAGTAGATGAGGCCCAGAATATTTTACAAGATTCAATTTTAAAAAATACAGTTTTGGAGCGCTTAAGTGGAAAAACAGGAATGGCAAGAAATGTATTTCATTGGCCTTCTTGTTCATCTTTTTCACTAGTTCTGCTTGTCTATTGCTTAGTCTATTTTTTCATTTAAGGAAAAAGATTCTATGAATGGGAGGACACCCAGTTCGTAAGGATTCATAAAGAAAGAAAGGGGAAGGAGGAAATATTCCTTTGGCTTAGATAAGCAAGAGAAGAATTCCTGATGTTTCTGCACATACCCTGCACATGCCAAGCTATGGTATAAGCATTGGTGGTGCAGAGCCATATTTTCATCCTTCCATTCTTCCTGCATCCAAAGAGGACATTTTTGTTCAATTTTGCAAATTCATCAGTCTCCCAAGGAGAAAGGATACACAGTGTTCTCCTTAGGAGGCAGACTTCCTTTCCATAGGAATTGCAAAAGAAATGGATATCATGTGCACCAGGAGGAAAACACAGTTGCCTCAGAATACCCCAGGAAGGAATGTGCTGGGGCATGATCTGTTTTTCACAAAAAAAGAGTCCCAAACCAAACAGATGAGAAGTTGAGAGGCTCCTTTTGGGTGTGATTATCTACCTTCCAATATTAAAAACACTCTGTCTGCTACTGCAAATAATTATGGAAAGAGTAGAGTAGAGTAGAGTAGAAGAGGAGAGGAGAGGAGAGGAGAGGAGAGGAGAAGAAAAGAAAAGAAAAGAGAAGAGAAGAGAAGAGAAGAGAAGAGAAGAGAAGAGAAGAGAAGAGAAGAGAAGAGAAGAGAAGAGAAGAGAATATTCTTTACTGGCCAAGTGTGATTGGACACACAAGGAATTTGTCTCCAGTGTATAAGCTCTCAGTGTACATATAAATAACACAGTGATCATAAATCATAGTTACAATCATTAAACATAAGATACAACAACAAGTGATGATCATAAGATACCAATAGGAGAAGGTAGTAGGAAGGATGAGAAGATGACAAGGATAACAGCAATACAGCCTACTACATGGGTAAATATCTATGGGCCTAAGACAGTGCTGTGGAATTAGATGTTCAGCAGAGTGATGGCATGGGGGAAGTAACTGTCTTTGTGTCTAGTTGTTTTGGCATGCATAGCAGCTTTTGTGGTGAAGAGAAAACATTGAGATTCTTAATACTGTAGGAGGACAGCTTTGTTCCTCTTTGGTGACATCCAATGAAGTGAGCTGCTGTCCAAAAAAGCTGATCCTTTCCATAAAATTTGGTAGCTGGACTCCAAATAGCACAGAACTCGTAACATTCTCTCCTAAGAAGACTCCATGACTCCCAAAGCAAAATTTTACCAGCAGAAACTATGAAATTAGTAACCTCAAGACTCTAGAATCCCAGTCTGTGATGTTCCACGATAGGCATTTCATCTGATTATTTTTCAATCAGGGAGAAGCTTTCCTTCCTGGAGCAGAAGAGTTGCAAGCAGTTTCAGATATTTGGGAACTTTAAGAAAGGGATGCTGTTTCATTTATTTATTGTGGAAGAAGAAAAGCTGGCTCTTGTGCAGACCTTTGCTATTTTTTGAATTTTAGCAGATTTTAAAAGAGTTGCTGAGTGCAGTTGAGGTTTCCTTTCCAGCTGCCTTCCATTGTGAAATGCATACATTTAGTGGCAGCCTTGTGCTTTCAGGCTCACATAACTCTGACCAGCGATGATATGCAAGTCCCCCTCTCTCAGCTTCCCTCCCCCAATCTGCAGTGTCAGAATTATAACACTCATGTTAGGCGGTTGCGATGGTTACAGATGTGTATTTTGAGTGCTCATTCTCAGGTTGCTTAAAAGCTGCCAAGTTGCCTTCTCCCATAAAACAAGACAGAAATGCATCTGGATAATCAGTCAAAAGAAACTGCAAATGTTAAGATGTGCTTTAGTTTACTTATACCCCAGACGAGGGTAACTTCAGAATGGAAAGATTGCTTTATCTGAAAATGAAACCGTAGCTTACTTATAAAGCTTTGCTGAGAGCTACTCTTATGCACCAAGGTAGAATAGGAGATCTGCAGCTCCATTTGCATGAGCGGTGGACACTCGCCCGAGTGCGTGAAGCTGCACTTAAATTTTTTTGGGGGAAGTCTTTATGTGTGGATTGAGGGGATAGTCTGGAAGCAGGAGAAGAAAAAACCTGGACAGAGATGGAGGAGAAAAAGTGAAGTGCTGCGTCAGAGCTGGACATGGCTATCGAGTCTCTCTCAAGCAGAGGTGACCACAGAAAGAAAGGTCATAAAAATCAAGACGGCACCAGAGCTGCATAATGAAAGCCCTGTGCATACAGTATGATTGAAGAGCCCTGAATTTAAATGCTACAAAATAAGCGAAGAATGAATACTCTAGAATGACAACCTGGAACTTCTGTGTTTAAAACCAAACAGGCTAAAGCTGAATGATTTCACAAACATTAGGACCTCATTAATCCCAGAATTAATTAAAGAGAATCTCTCAGCAAGTATGGCTAGATATTGTCCCAAGGCCTAACCAGGAGTTTCACAGGCTCATTCAATGTTCTTATGAATGAGCATTTCAGGAGAGGCGTGATGCTGACCCATTTTGCACTGCTCAGGGTTGGAAGGAACCAAAATGTTGCCTCTTGGGTTGGACAAGGGAAGACTTGCGGCATTGGCTGTCTGGCCAAATCTAAGAAATGGCTTTCAGTTCCAACCCCCGACATAGTTTCTGCTGAGTAGCCAAGCCAAAGTGGTCAAGTTAAATCCTATCAGGCCTTGCACAGCTTGTAGGTTTAATTACAGGGCAACCTGAAGATGGATGGTGCAGTTGTGTGACAGCCTTGGAAGGAAAAGCAACAGACTGCATCAAAAGAAGTGCAGAAAGCATTGAAAGGCCTAGGTTCAGAGTTCGACCCAGCGCTGTCCTTCAGGGCAAGGCAGTCTTCAAGTCTCAAACCGTGCACAGGGGAGCTTCCAAGAGAAGCTGGCGTGAAGGACCTCCGGCACTTGGGGGGAGGGAGAACTGTGGGAGGAGAGAATCTGTTTGGGGGGGGGGGCTTATTTCTTCTATAGATAGTCCTTGTATTACAACAAATTTGTTGAGTGACCATTGAAAGTTACAACAGCACTGAAAAAGTGACTTAGGACCATTTTTCACACTTACGACCATTGCAGCAGCATCCCCATGGTCACGTGATCAAAACTTGGATGCTTGGCAACTGGTTCATATTTATGACGGTCGTAGTGTCCCAGGGTCATGAGATCATCTTTTGTGACCTTCTGACAAGCAAAGTCAATGGGGAAGCCAGATCCTAACTTAACAACTGTCATGATTCATTTAATAATTGTGGCAAGCAAGGTCGTAAAATGGAGATAATTCACTTGACAACTAATTTGTTTAGCGATGGAGATTTTGGGAAAATAGGGGAGTTTCTCCTGGACGTGGAATTGTCTGCGTGCCGATTCTAGGATGACACTTGAGGTATGTGTTTATAAGTATGTTTATTCTTGTGAACATGACGTTCTGCTGGAAGACCCAATTTAATTAACTCTGCTTGTGTTTATACACCTTATCCTTTCATATGTGGATTAGGTCTGGGTGACTTATTTGGGGTTTTGAGGAGGTTTGGGTAAAAGCTTTTCCTCCCTTTGTGATTTTTATTTGATTAACTTAGTTTCCACTTGACTCTCAATTATCTAGTGGAGACGCTGATTCTTAGACCATTGTGGATTCTGTTAATGTTTCGAAGAAAGATGGAAACAGTATAAAGAATAAAATATATGTGGATATAAAACTTCCCACACCCTAACTGTTCTTTCCAAAGTTGCTTCACCTGAAACCACTTTCTCTGCTTCTCTTTCCAGATGAGAAACCCTTTGTAGTGGAGGACACCTACTTACTCTGCCCGGCACCTGTCTTACAAGAAGCTGGCATGTAGGTTTATGAAAATAGAGAGTTTATACACAATAGCTCTTTTCGTTGTAACTTTCACTGGTGAATTTTCTTTTGCTACTGTACTTTCTGATCTGCCCTTGTTTACCAAATATTAAGGCAAAAAATGTTAAAAATCAATAAAACATTTTTTAAAACAAAAATTAGCTACCAGTTCTGCCGAAGTGGTGTGAACTGGCTGAATCCTGCCACTGCCCTTACAGAAATGGTCTTTGATTGCAGCACCCATGCCCTCCATCTAGAAGGCTGGCTCCTGCCTGCCATGGAGGGCATGTTCTGTTGCTATTATGGTCATTCAGCAAATCAAGTAGCCTTCTCCAGCTTGGTGGCCCTGCAGATATGATGGTGGACTTCCATTCTTCACAGCTAAAGCCCAAGCCATCTGAGGACCACCTACTTGGCGGTCTCTCTACAATACCAAGAATCTGCAGCAGCCCAGTTGCTGCTGCGTTTTCAAAAGAGGTGGACTTCTTTTGAGTCTTTCCCCAACAAGTCATTTCTGCCCCTCTTTCTTTGTTTTAGGGAAGCTGCTCTTCAAGTGAGCATGAACGACGGCCTCAGTTTCATCTCCAGCTCCGTCATCATCTCCAGCACGCACTGTGTAAGTTTGCTTAGAAATCCACCCTTTTTGCTTAAACGTCTGTTGAAAAATCTCCGTGAATTTGAACTGGAGGGTCATTTAGAGGCCATCAATACTAGGATTTCAGGTCTGGCTTCCCTTGAAAAGCAGGTGATTAATGATTCTTTAAAAAGAAGCTGTTTCTCCTTTGCAATGTCAGTGCTTCATAAAAGGCAGGTTCCCCCTCTTTTGAACTGAGAGTTTTAATAACATCCCTGCAGGGGTGCCAGAATTTCTGCAAAGAAGAGAGTAAAATAAAGGCACTCAGAACACAGGCATGCAACGAAAGAGAATGCTAATCTCCTCTAAACTATTGGGTTTTTATCCTGTTGGTTGTGGAATAGTAACTGTGTCACTCGTACCGCATTTCTATTTAATTATACAAATAGAATGCAAATAGTCCTTGAATTGCAACCATTTGTTTAATGACCGTTCAAAGGCACAACGGCACTGAAAAAAGTGGCATGACTATTTTTCACACTTACAACCGTTGCAGCACCCCATGGCCATGTGACCAAAATTCAGATGCTTGGTGACTGACAAGTACTTATGCTGGTCGCAGTGTGATGTGATCCCATTTTGCCACCTTCTGACAAGCAAAGTCAATGGGGAAGCCAGATTCACTTATTAATGACCCCATGTTACTATTTAACAACTAAAGTGATTCACTTAACAATAGTGGCGAGAAAGATTGTAAATGGGTCAAAACTCATTTAACAACCATCTTGCTTAGCAATAGCAATTTTGGGTTCAATTATGGTCGAGGAGTACCCGTATTTATATATTACCTGAACACAAGTGTAGAATATATTTGTAGGGTTTATATATTTATATTATACCTTGGAGGGAATCTTTATTCACTTATGAAGTGGTTACAGAAGGATGAGTTGGGGGCCAAATTAATTTAGTTTGCATTGATGTATGTATCAAACCAGAGCACAGATATTGTTTCATATTTTTGATCCTCTGAATTTTGCAATTTAAGAAAGCAAATTAGGGAAAATCTGAATAAAAAATGAGTTCATAGATTGAAGAAACTAACCATCTAAATGTGCTATATGAGGGAATAGTTGAATAGCTGAAAAATTAAATAGTTGAAAAATTGTCAACAAAACACACATAATAAAAGGATCTCAACTTCAATGGAGCCAAAGTTTTATATCCCAGTGACAAAAAACAGATGCTGAATTTGAATCACTTGAAGCATTTTCTACTTGACATAGCAGCTGTTGCTTAGAACCTCTGAAGTTTGACCTGCTATAGGATCTGACTTGTTTCTAAGACTGAATTCTTGTGAATATTAAGAGAAATGAGCCAACTATAACTATGTTTCTTAAACTACTTCACTATTCCTTAGAAAAGTGAAATAACACGCACTGCTTTGAGCTTTGTAGATGAGCTAACAAGGGCTATAATTCATCAGAAGAACATGGGGGGGTGAATAACAAAGCTGACATTTCCCAAAATTGGGTTTTTTATTTTTATAAGAGGGATATTTATGTCTCTGAATTTGTCTTTGATATCTGCAGATGGCTGTGGGGTAGGCAAGAGGAGACATGAGTATCCTGAAGTTATTGAACATCTAATACAATAATGAAATTTGTGCCACTCATATTACATGAACTAACGCAAAGTACAAAAATTGTGTTCTGTGCTCAATGACATCAGGATGAATGTGCCAATACTTTGATGTCATTGTGATTTTTAAGGGGTGCAAATGTTAGTAACATGGGAATCAGAGCATTATTGTTGGGAAGCATCCAGCCTGGCCAGCAGGAGGGATCAAGCATGGAGCTAAGCCTGGAGTCACTGTGCAACTACAAAAGGACTATGCCCAACCCTATCTAGGTTATTTGGAGCCTGATCTAATTGTTCCCAGGAGCAGGCTGTTGGACTGGGGAGATTCCTGTATTATAGGTAGAAAGTAATAAAATAGTTAGCTCAAAGTCTGCACATGTGATTCCGGTTGTTCACACCTGACAATTGTTTTCCTTAAAGGAGAAAACGGATTCTTCTCATTCTTAGCCACTGTATTGATTGAGAATGGATGAGCCATAGTGTCAACCCACCAGAAGGCATCAGGCGAGGGAGTCTAATTCTGAATAAGTGGCCATGTTTTCCACAGGAAATTTAAGGTCACTGTCCCACAAGAGCTAAGTCCACACATCAAGATGGTATTTTCTTCAGCATCATGATCATGAGAGTCCACGCAAATCTCCTTGAATGCCCTTCCATCAGATGATATTGTTTAGTGCTATTCTATTCTATTCCTGAAAGTCCGTATGTCTCTATTTGTTTTAAGATATTGGGCTCTATTTTCAACAAAGAAGCGAACTCCATTCTCCTCCTCTCTCTGCCTTGCTGAAACACAATAACAGTATAACAGAGCTGGAAGAGATCTTGGGGTCTTCTAGTCCAACCCTATACCAGGAGTGTCCAACTTTGGCAGTATTAAAACTTGTGCACTTCAACTCCCACAATGGCTGCCTGGGGAATTCTGGGAATTGAAGTCTACAGGTCTTAAAGTTGCCAGGCCCTATACCATTCTGGACAAGTGGCTGTCCAGTCTCTTCTTAAAAACCTCCAGTGATGGAGCACCCACACATTCTAAAGGCAAGCCATTCCACTAATTAATTGTTGACTTTAAACCATAATGGAAAGCTGGAAACTGAAATATGTCACAGAAACCTGGCTGGGTCCTATTTCAGGGCACCTCCCACAGAACAGTCATCTCCCAAAGCCAGATGTCTCTTTGCCAAGGGTGAGAAATGACGCTAAGCCCCGGCAGCCTCGCAATTGGCCAGGGATTTTGCTCTGAGCCATCCCACCTGTCCGATTCGAGCAGGCCTGGGCTTCATTACTAGCTGGAAACTGAGCGATTTCACAGCATGTTCCCTAATGTGGGCTTTCAAATCAGCTGCATCTCCTCTCCTGGAGTTCTTTGGCTTCAAGCGACACAGAAAAGAGAGCGGAACGTTGATAGTTCCCCAGGCTGTCCAACCTTTAGGGATTCAGGGACTTCTATGGGTTTCTTTTTCCCCCAATCTCCTTCATCAGATGGTGCCAGAAGACACTGAGAGCCAAAGGCAACTGGCAAAGTTCTGAAAATCTTTTGGCTTCTGCTGGCGTTTCTGTTTATTTAGGCCCCGAACTGTTTACATATGAACAGAATATCCAACATCCAAGGATAAATGCTCTATAACCTGCTGCAGGAAATTAAGAATATATGTTCTGAAATAGAATACCTGAAGCCATTTCATCCTAAGGTCTTCTTACGTGTGAATCCATACTGGAGACTGAAGGTCCATAACCTGCCTCACCCAAAAAGCCTTGAAGTATCAAGGTTGGACTCCATCCTCTCAGGATGGGTGATGAATCACATCCATAAACTGATGTCATGTGCCAGGACCTGAACTCCATTGACGGACATGCGATCATCATGTAGTTGGCCTCTTCTGGAACCTGGAAACCTATTTAATTACAACAGAATTATCTGTTCTTGGATATTTGGCAGGCTTGAAGTCCAGCACACTCATGGTCCTAATAACCCACAACTTTCTCCTGTGCCAGTGCCTCAAACCTTGGGAGCTTGAAAATATGTGGACCAATTCCCAGATTTTCCCAGCATGCCAAAGTTGAGAAACATTTCCTATGGCATTTCTCGAGTTCCCTGCCCCGCTCAACTCATTTTAAAGAGATATTTTGATGTTAAAAAGAAGCTGGAGGGCTGCATAGTCCATATTTCCAGTACCATCGTTATTTTCCAGAATATTTCAGGGTCCCAAATGGGCCCACAAATGTTCTCAGAACATTAAAAAAATGAGCCTTTCCTTGGAAGTGGAAAACAGAAGCTGTAGGGAGACTTCTGCGAAGAAACTTAAATTGGATGATCTATTGGTGTTTTGCAACTGGCAATCATTTTGTGAAGGTGCCCATGATATATTGCTGGAGTTCCATATGTGTGCATTAGTCCAAAAGGGCAGGAGACCCACGGATTAGCATCAGAAGTTCTTCTCTTCCTCCTCTCCCTAGAAGAGGTGAACTCAAACTTCAGTTCCCATGATAGATTAACTATAGTTAAAAGGAATCTCAAATTCTGTGAGTTCAGACAACCAGCGTGTAAAACAAGGGAGTCAGTATTTTCAAATTCTTTGTCCCTGTGAAAGTTTAGGAAACAGGAAGCTCCTTTTGTTGCTTCTGAAGCAGCCCAGTGGGACAACAGGGGTAAGCCTTAAGATAAAGAGTGCTTAAAGCATCCCAATAAACTATGGTTTGTCTGCCACTAGTCTAAAAGTGCACCCTTGCCTCTCCATGCTGGTTTCACTTCCTTTGCTTCATATCCTGTCCTCCTCTTGCTTCTCTCTTCCAACTGCCTGCTGGGGATGAGGGGGAGCTTGCAAGGAATGGAACAGGAGCCCCCTTAACTCTCCACCATTTCTCTCTGTGCACAGAGACCCCCCAGGCAATCTGTCAGTGGTGTAATGATCTTCACAGCTGTTCCAACTGCTGGTGGAAACTCTGATTCCAGGTTGGAGGGAAAAGTGTCAAAGCTTTTACAGGGGAACCTGGAGACAGGCAGCTGTGTTGATCATTGCTTTGGCAACGCCTGGAGAGAAACCTGATGAAAACTCATCCCAAGGGCACCACCTCCTTGATTTATTACAGGGGGAAAGAGGTGGGCAGAGGACCACCGCTGCCTTCCTTCCATGGAGATGTTCAGATGTGCTTAGGTTCCTTGTTGCAATTCCCCAGCTGTGGGGATAATGGAAGTTATACTTTTGTAGGATAATAGTCAAGTCAGCCTATTTCAACAGGCTTTGCAGTAATAAAATTTAACAACTGAGTTGCTGACCTTGTTTGTCACCCCAATGTTTCCTGAGGCCTAGAAATCTCTCTTTCTAATATTCAGCATGGTTAGGCAAACTACCATTAGTTTGATGGCAAAACAAGGCTTTCCCTCCCCCAAGAGACAGTGGTCTGAGGTATTCCCTAGCTCTGCGCCTATGCAAAATAAAAGAGAAAAATCCATTTAAACTTGCACAGAATGATGGAAGGGAACCCAAGACAGAGAGAGAAAGAGTCCTGCCACGCTGCGAATTTGTGGGTGTTGCCTTTGGTTCCCTTACAGCCAGGGTGCGGATTTAAAAAGCTCAGAGAGCCAGCGTGATTCCTGAAGGAGGCCAATGAGCGGCAATCTTAATAAAAGCGGAGCAAATATTTCAGCCACAGAGAATCACCATAGTGATTGTATTTAATTAATGGGAGTGCCGTTGCCTTTACTAAAATGAAATTTGCTCTGGCTTTGAGTCCTGGCTTCATCCGCTTCTTTCTTCTGGCTCTTCTCCCTTTTTGGAGCGGGGCCTCCAGCAGCCAAAGCCAAACAAGAGCTGTGAAAAAAGCTGGACAGCTCATCCCTGCAGTTGTGGGGCAGAATAGAGGAGGCAGTAGGAGACACTCAACATAGGTTCAACCTGATTCATTGATTGTTCACTAATCAATGGCTGGTTCTCTATTTGGAAATTCTGTTGTTTGCTAATGCATGCATCCTTCTCTCTGTCTTTCAGTGTGTATCTATTTAGCTATATCTCTCTCTATCTGTCAGTCTGTATCTGCCAACCTATAGGTGCACACACACACAGAGAGAAAGAATGGCATACATTGGAGTCATTTTTTTCTGGAATATCCAACCTGTCTTTCTTTAACTGGTTTTCTTCCATCGTAATGAATTTTTAATCCTCTTCTGTGAAGTCTCCAGAGTTATTCCACTGAGAGGCAGACTGAGAAAGTCCAGACCCTTTCACATTATTCCTTTTTAACTTTCCATTGTGTTGGAAAGGATAGACATAAATCCTCTTTGCCTTTAGGACCAACCCACCCACACCTCTGCAGTTAGTTTGTGCACATCTTGGTAGCAACCAGAGCCCGCCGAACAGCAGCCAAGGGCTGTTGTATGCAGAAGCTGGCCTCAGCTGCCTGCATGCACCTGTTGGTCTTTCTAGATTGCTGTTGCACTAACCCATGCTTAGCAGTCTATCGAGCACAAGAAATCGAGAGTCCAGCCAGTTCAAATGAATATATGTTTATTGTATGCTATTCCTATCTACAAGAATCTGAATTACTAACAGTCAAAGTGAGTTAGCGGTAGATAAGAGTCAAAGGAATTCAAGGTGGACTGGATGTAGATCTCCTGTGATGCCAAGAGACTCATGACTGATGACGTGTTTGACCCCTCCCCTCCCTTCTCAGCCTAGTCCTCTCCTACCTTGTCATTGTAGCCAATGTTGGCTAATTTCCTAGCTTGGGAATTGGTGCAGCAGCAGGAGATGCAAGAGAGGCAGGATTCAATATTGTGAATGAACAAAATAAACAAATAACATTCATTCATCAGGGCAAGGATGGATGCTGCTCCCGAGAAAGAGTGCAGAGAAGAGCAATAAAACTGACAAGAGGTCTGCAGGCTTAAGCATACAATCCTAAGAGAACTAGGTACCTGGCTCTAATGAACAGAAGGATTGAGGGGGACATGACAGCTGTCTTCCAGTACCTGAAGGGTGGCCTCAGAGATGAGGGGATCAACCTATTCTCCAAAACACCAGAGGGCAGGACAAGGAGCAAAGGGTGGAAATTTGTTAAAAAGAGATCCAGCCAACTAAGGAGAAATTTCCTGACAGTGAAGGCAATTAACCAATGGAACAGCTTTCCTCCCAAAGTTGTGGATGCTCCATCACTGGAGATTTTCAAGAACAGACCGAATAAGGACTTCTGCCTTGGGCAGGGGTTGGAGAAGAAGACTTCAAAACAGAGGGAGAGGATCTTTACAGGTTCTAATTTGGAAAAACGAAGAAATTTATGCGCTCATCTTGCTACCATTCTGGCAAAATTGCTTTGGAGCCATTTCTCCTCTAATGACTTCCTGTGTCTTCACAGCATCTCCCAGCCACACTGAAGTGACAGAAAGCCTGTCTTCATTGCTGTGATTTTTGGCGGAAATGATGATTGGAAAACGCTGAAGATAGCAGTAGAGACTGCAGGGGTCTCCAACCTTGGCAACTTTACGACTTACGGACTTCAGCTCCCAGAATTCTGGATTTGAAGTCCACAAGTACCAAAGTTGCCAAGGTTGGAGCCCCCCGATAGAGAGAAAGCAAGAGCGAGCATTCCCTGAGCAGGAACATCGGGGATGGGAGTGATCCGAAACTGATCTTTTTCAGCTGTGCAGAGTCACTTTAAAACATCTGGCAACCTGAGCAACTTTGCTTCATCAGAAATGTGGTTCAGTATCACAGTGGGGTTGTTTCTGACAATTCCAAAGAATGCTCTAAAAATAACTACACAAGCTAAGTAGTCAGTAAAAAATGCTTTGAAACATTGCATTAAATGGCAACAAGATTAAAGTTATTCATTAACAAACTATTTTTTTTAAAGCTAGAGTTAATGTGTCCTACTGCTGTTTGGTATGCCTTTAATTGAAAACAATTATCTGGCTCCTTTCCTGAGCTACATTCTGAATTTGTGATTTGAGAACCCCATAGACTTTGTATCCCTTCTGGCTCTGAGTGTGGAGAAGTTTGCGAAGAATTGGACTGGGGCATCATTTGGACTCTCCTCTTTGTTTAGTTTGGGCACCAAAGGGGTTCAAGGAGAACATTCCTAGGATGGAAACAATTTGAGGAGACCTACAGGGGGGATAAATCAATGACAAGAAAAGAAATTACATACATTTTAGCCTAGAGAAAAGAACATTAAACAAGAAAAAAAAAGAAATATTCTTTTCTACTGTAGAATGCTATGTGCTTAGAACAACAAATACCTAAAGATGTAAACATACACTGAAGACTGAACTTAAATGGCCTTCTTTTCTGTAATTGTATTAAACTCATTTTCCTCTTGGAAATGAAATCAGTCAAAGAATGATTAAGAGCACAGGACAAACTCATATGCCTAAGCACATGGGATCATTGAGGACAACTTGCCCAGGGTCCAATCAACAAGGGTTGCATCCCTAAGCATGCATGTTCCATGCACAAGGTCTGTGGGTTCATATAAACCAACTCAGTGGTGGCCCCTCTGGGATTAATATTGCCCATACTCCCTGGAACGTTGTGGGTTGACTATGGCACTTTTGGCACACAAACTTAGGCTTTCTCATTAATCTCTCTGGCTCAGGTGCTACTGTTTGAATTGAATTGAATATTTTCTTTGGCCAAGTGTGATTAGACACACAAGGAATTTATCTCCAGTACGAAAGCACTCATCATCATATCATAAAAAAGACACTGAGACTCTGGAAAAAGTACGGAGAAGAAAATTAGGGGTCTGGAGGCTAAAACATGAACAGTTTCAGGAATTGGGTTTGTCTAGTCTATTGAAAAGAAGGACTAGGGGGTGACACGATAGCAGTGTTCCAATTTTTGAGGGGCTGCCACAAAGAAGAGGGGGTCAACCTATTCTCCAAAGCACCAGAAGGCAGGACAAGAAACAATAGATGGAAACTAATCAAAAAGAGAAGCAACCTAGAATTAAGGGGAAATTTCCCAACAGTAAGAAAAAATAATGTGGAACGACTTGCCTCCAGAAGTTGTGGGTGCTCCATCACTGGAGGCTTTTAAGAAGAGACTGGACAGCCACTTGTCTGGAATGGTATATAGTCTCCTGCTTGAGCAGGGGGCTTGGACTAGAAGACTCCCAAAATCCCTTCCAACTCTGTTACTCTATTAACCTTTGTATATCGACAATCCAATTCACTCTCCAGCTAGAAGGATCTTCAGCTGGCAAGTCAGAAGATCTCAGGTTGAAATTCTAGAGAGTTGTTCCATAAGGACAGGCAGCAAACTTCCATTCTGATCGGTTTGCATTTTCTAACCATTTTTTAATGTGGGTTCTTTCACGGTGGGGCCCTCCAAATGCTTTGGTACTCTAGATGGGTTTTTCTCAGCAATGAAACAGGAGAAGTGAGAGTTGGGCATCCAAGACCACATCCATGTGGTGCTAAACTCTGGTGGTGCAACCGCTCGATTCCGCTTCCAGCTCCTGAGTGCTGAATAATCAACACGCATGTACACAGGAGCCTTCCTGTCATCAACCAACCCATCCTCTGGCATGCCAGGATCAGCCAAGCTCCAGAGTACTATTTTACAACAGATGTAACTTACCCATGGGTCATTTTTGTTATTTTAAAAGTCTGGTCCTAGAAAACCAAAGTCTCTAAGTCTTGCCAGGCCTAATTTTGCTTGCTAGCTGATCCCCAAAGCCTGATGACATCAGTGAGGAATGATTCAGAAATATTAGCTGGTTTGGGGAAATGCATAGTCTGTACTTGAGATTACAGTTGGAAGTAAAGTGAAATAATCCATTTTCAGGGCATTTTAATGACAGGAAAACCTCTGGAAGAGGCGGTGAATCTGCTGAAATGGTTTTCAGTCTGGGATATTCAGATCTATTAAAATTTATATTCCATCCAGTGATTGCTGGATTAGCGCAAGCCATGGTTTTCTGGGTTGGGAAGGAGATCTGTGAATACACACCCTCTCTTCTTCAAATTAAAATAATATATCCCGACTTGACCAGAGCAGTTTGTGCTTTCAAGCCAGGATGTCATTGCAGCTTCATTGCTCTTCCTCTAAAGCAGAGGTTCTTCAACTGATTGACACCATGAAGAAAATTAGGTTGGAAGAGATAGGAAAAATTAATGGCTGATTCAAGTGAGCATTGCAGTTGACCCAAACTTTGGACAAGGATTGACAGATTGAACAGAATATCTAAACTTTGTTCCACCCTGACTTAATTGTGATGCTTCCTTTACAGTCTGATGGGACCATTCTGGCAATTATCTTGCTGATCCTCTTCATTCTGTTGGCTCTGGCGCTTCTCTGGTGGTTCTGGCCACTTTGCTGCACTGTGGTAAGTCCCTGGAATCTATTCTCACTTTGGCTGGTCTTCTGCGTCAAAAGGGGAGAAAATCACTCCCAGAGAAACCCACAAGGTTGCTTATGATGAATAGTTTGTAAGGAGGCAGAAGCCCTAGTTTGTCAGATGAGGTCATCTAAAAATATGGGTACTGTGGGTATTCCTTCAGAAGTGAGATTTCTGGGAATGTATGGGATTTAGGATTCCATCATTGGAGGTTTTTTAAGAAGAGCCTTAACTTGCCTGAGATGGTATAGGTTCTCCTGCCTGAGCGGGGGGCTGGACTAGAAGACCTCCAAGGTCCCTTCCAGCTCAATTCCTATTCTATTCTATTCTATTTTACTCTATTCTATTCTATTCTATTCTATTCTATTCTATTCTATTCTATTCTTCTGCACTCTATTCCATTCCATTCCATTTTGCAGTCTAGTCTAATCTTGATTAATCTCATTCTGTTCTATTCTGAATTTCCTTTCCTTTCCTTCCCTTCCCTTCCCTTCCATCATATCATGACGAAGTGGATCCAAGAAAAACATACAGATCTCTATTTAGAAAGCAACAATGGAGCTGGAATCATAGACATCTGGATGGGGAGCAAGAGAAGCAGACAAAAAACAGTGCCCCACAATTGCAATACAAACCAAAGGCCTTACTTGTGTCCAGTAGTAGCATCCTGCAAGGCCAAAATGCAGTTTTGCACCCTGACTGTGCAATGCAACTTATTTTCAAATAACTGCAGTTTCTACCAGACCTCTATTCTTGGACTTTTTTAGCAGTTATATTTATCCTGAAGGCCAAATTCAGCAAATCTTCTCACAAAAGTTTAAATGCAAGTCAGAGCCACGTCCCCAGTTCTAAAAAGCATTATGGAAAGAAAGTGAAATTAACAAAGGCCGTATTCCAGAGAGAAAACATCTCATAGGAAATCATGTGGAAAGAAGAATCTTGAAAATCTCTGGTTTGCATTCCAGCCTTTAAGACAGGAAAAATAGGAAGAAGCCAGTGGGTCTGCTTGATGAATATTGAACGGAGCTGGGGAAGGAAATCAGGCCCTGGGCTGAATCCTCCAAAGAATCTTTGAAGATACAGCTTGTACATTTTCCCATCAGTCTGGAGGAAATAATAATGAAGTTAACAATCCTTTGACAATCACTTTCCAGCCAGTTTGGCATTATTTCTCAATCCTATTAGGAAGCAAATGTGCGTATGTGGAGTTCTCCACAGAGACCATCCACATTAGTAGTGACCAACTCCCCACCCCTTTGTAACTGCATCTCATCATTGCACATCCATTAAAAGGGGTGGAGTGGATTGCAAAATCAAATTGAAGCCAGTGACTGTCAACCCGTGAGGGTGCTTATGCATCTTTCCTATTGTGACACCACTGATGTCAGTGAGAACTTCTTAGTTCTCATGTTGAAGGAGGCTGGTGTGCATGGATCTGATGTACGTGTTAATGCTTTCCTTGGAGGTAAGGCGTCAAAATCCACAGATCTTAAAGAGAAGCAACCTGGAATTAAGGAGAAACGTTCTGAGGAAATTAACCAGTGGAACAGCTAGCCTCCAGAAATTGTGGACGCTCCATCACGATTCTCCTGCTTGAGCAGAGGGATGGAGTAGAAGACCTCCAAGGTCCTTTCCAGCTCTATTCTAATCTAATTCTAATTCTAAACTTGTCAAGGTTGGACACCCCTGACAAAAATGAGAGGGTAGGGAAGAAAGCTGAGTCTGAGAAGATGCAACATTTTCTACGAAGTTCCTTCCGTCAGGGCTGGGGAGGGTTAAATAAGGACATGCTGGGTGCCAGCTCCTCAGAAGGTGACCTGCCAGATCTGTAGGTGAAGGCTGTGGTTTTAAACAGAGATAGAAAATGTTTAGAAATGGTCTTCTGAGGATGGGTCCTGAAAGTTAGCATAAGGTAATGTTCTCTATTCCTTTCCATCCGTTTCAGATTATTAAAGAGCCCCCACCACCTCCGATGGAAGACAGCGAGGTAAGTGCTTTGATCCCTTGCAACATTTCACTCAATGTTTTTCAAGGCTGTTGTGGAGTCTGTATTATCATAAAGCATTTGGTTTGTGCAGTTCGGTTTTCAAGGTCCCTGGAAAGGGGTCAGCAGAAGAAAGACCAGGTAATTCTCCCTCTCTGGGCTGCCACCTAAACCCTGCTAGCATGAACAGAAAATGGTAAATAGGGAGGGTTGGGGTGACCCATCGCTGGAAGAGAAGCCGTTCGGAAAGTAAGTCCGAACTGGGAGCCTTGGCAGGAAGAGCTCAAAAAGCTCAAGACGGTGGCGGCAGCCACAGAACGGGAGTCTGGCACTCTTAATGCATCAGGCTGGTCAATACAGGTAGTCCTCAACTTACAACCATTCATTTAGTGACCGAAGTTACAAAAAGAGTGACGTGACCATTTTTACACTTACAACATTTGCAACATCCCCATGGACACACAATCAAAGTTTGGATGCTTGGCCACTGGCTCATATTTACGACAGTTGCAGTGTCATGGGGTCATGTGACACCCTCCCCCCTTTTGCGACCTTCTGACAAGCAAAGTCAACGGGGAAGCCGGATTCATTTAACAACCATGCTACTAAGTGAAAAATGCAGTGATTCACTTAACAACTATGGCAAGAAAGGGTGGAAAATGGGGCAAACTCACTTAGCAGTCCAACTTAGCAATAGGAATTTTGGATTTCGTTGTGGTCATAAGTTGAGGACTGCCTGTCCCACACATCCCAGATACTTCTGGACCATGAGGACCCAAGGGCCAAGGCCAGAGAGCGTCATTGCGGTCACGGTGCACGGAGGCCACCTGAGACTTCCAGTGGAGAGTTGCTGGTTCCCTGGTCCAATTACATGCTCCTCAAGCTTATTTATTCATTTACTCCAGCATGTAAACATAGAGTAGCTGCTCGGAAGGCTGCATTACAAATGCCATTCATCATTTTCCCCAGTGACAGTCTGAAGTTAATAAAAGGGAGGCTTTCTGGTTAGATTGTCACTGTTAAGTCTTTGTTTTAATGTGCTTCAGAAATGGTTTGTTTACAGGCAGGAGATACATGTAATAATAAGATGAGTCAGGAGTTCAAGTCCACAGGTCTTAAAGCTGGTGAGGTTGAGAAACAGGGCAATAAACTAAGCTGTGGTGTGATGACACACATCGCCCCGGAACTCTTCAAGAAGTTTTAACTGTTCTGGGGAAACCAAGTATTAACCCAAAGTTTTCTCTTCAGTTTGGAAAGCGAATTGATTAAAACTGGAGCACCACTGCTTTGCTGGATGTACTGGCTGAAAAAAGGGGTAGCCACAACGATGACCTCCACAATCATAGAATCATAGGGTCAGATATCTTATTTCATTCTTGACAAATGGTTGTCCAGTTATTTCTGGAAAACCTCTAGAGAGAGCACCCACAACTCCTGGAGGCCAGTTGTTCAAGTGATAATTGTTTCCACTGTCAGAAAATTTTTCCTTAGTGAGAAATGAGCTTAATGAACTTCCATCCATTACTTCTTGTCCTTCTCTCTGGTGCTTTGGAGAACAAGTCAATTCCCTCTTCTTTGTGACAACCCCTCAAGTACTATAACAGAAGATAGTTATCATGTCACCCCTAATTCTTCTCTTCATTAGGCTAAACATACCTAGTTCTCTTAAGCATTCATTGTACAATTTAGACCCCTTATCTTTGTTGCTCTTCTCTGCACCCTTTTTAGGACCTTGGTATTTTATTTCGTAATGTGGTGACCAAAATTGGATGTAGTATTTCAAGTGTGGCTTCACTAGTACAGTATAAAGCGGTACTATCACTTCTCAAGATGTTGTTGCTATCTCTCTGTTGATGCCGCCTAGGACTGCATTGGCTTTTTTGGTAGCTGCAGCACATGGCTGTCTCCTACTTAAGTGGTTATCCACTAGGAGGGACTCCTAGGTCCCTCTCACAATTACTGCTGTTGAGCTAGGTACTACCTATTCCATACCTATGCTTTTGGTTTTTCCTGCCTACTTTTCTCACCACTGAATTATTTCTTGTTGGACAGTCTGTCGATCTTTCTGGATCATGAACCTAGTTTCCAAAACATTAGCAATTCTCCCTAGCTTGATTTTGTCTGCAAATTTGATGATCTCCCCTTCTATCATGGTGTCATCATTGTGGCTTCTACCCTACATTGTGGTTGCATGTTGGGTTTTAAGTACATATTATGCTTTGATTATATGGTGGATATTCCAGGATGAGGTGTGTTTGTTGCCTTATAATTAGACATTGCAGCTTTGAAATCAAGGCTAAATTAATTTTATTTCTACGGGTTTCAGTATGAGCAAACCAACAGCCCAATCTTGCCATCACTCATGAGTCTTTGTTGACATCTGGAGACCACAGGCTTTCTCACTCAGATGGTTCTACAACAAGTCAAGAACACCCACACCCACACACCCAAACACAGAGAGAGTGTTTAGATCTGATATCACTCCATCCATTTAGCTACAAGACAAAGGTACTCAGCAAAGTTTTGGCAGGCCAGGATCAATCCAAAACAGAGCTCTAATTCGGCAAAGATGATTTATGAGCTCCATCAAGGGCATCTGCTTCTCCTCCCACATCTGCTTCTACCTTTGCAGTTTGAAAGGAACTCTTTCTGGGGGCTGTTGCTGCTGCTGCTCCTGCTCACTCCTCTGACCCAGAAGGGAGAAACTGTTGGCAGGGAGCCCACGGCATCTGCCCCCGCTATGCAGGAGAATGGCATGGTGAATTGTTAATGGAAGATGGAAAAGTAGGAACGGAAAACCTTATTCCTTTCCTTCCTTGGGCTTTGTCCCCAAACTCATCTTTAATAGTACTAAGGAGCAGAGGGGATTTGGTTTCCGCTGCGATGGATGGTGTTAAGGGGATTTGTACAATGCTTCCTGTTAGTATGACCAAGAACTGATGTTGGAGAGGAGAAAAGGAAGCCAGCTGGCCATCTTCAGCAACAGGTCCTTAGGACTCCCCTAACAGAACCAAAAGGGAAGATTGAAGAGTTGAAGTCTATACGTTTTAAAGTGGCCCAGTTTGGAGTCCTCTGCAACAGAGCGTCTTGGAGAGATGACCTTCTTGGGGTCCTCTAGTGAAGGAGGTCTTATCACTGTATCCAGCAGCCTGTTCCACAAGCAAACAGCTGCTGCACTCAGGAAGGTTTTGCAGAGGTCTAGTCTGAATCTCCCTCCTTGTAGTTTTACAGTAAACCACTGGTTGTAATCTTGCCCTCCCTCCTGCTTTCAAAGATAGGATATAGCAAGGGCTCTTTCATCTGGGGTTAACCCTGCACAAGTGCTAAGGGATTCTGGCCAGGCCTGCTTTCAGATGATGCAAATCATTTCAGATCACAAACCAGCTGGAGGTGCACTTTTATCAGAGTTTATTCATATTTTCCAGATATATATATATTTGTTTAAAGGGGATTGCTAATGATCACCAGCATTTAATCCAGCCTAACTCAAGGACTGGGGATGGAATGGAGGTGCCACAGAGGGATGTAGCAGGGGAAAAAATGGCAAAGAGATGTTGGTAGCAAGTTGAGAAAGGCCCTTCAAACGGATGTTTTGTCTGCTAGCACCTGTCAATAACCATATGGGTCGTTTTGAACCCTTGCCAAGACAAACCCTAACTTCCTTTCTCATTGTGGGGTCTTCCAGATGTTTTGGCCTACAACTCCCGTTATCCCTCACTATTTTTGTTGGTCAGCACATCTGGGCACCAGGAAGATGGAAAGGGTATTCTGGTACCTCTTTTAACTTTAGCAACAAAATCTATTTTTGGCTTTTAAAACAACGCCAAGATAAACCATTAGGTAATAGGTTCCTAGAAGGTCATTTGGAAATGGAATAATAGAGTTAGAAGGAACCTCAGAGATCTTCTAGTCCAACCTCTGCTCAAGCAGGAGGCCCTATATCATTCCAGTCAAACGGCTGTCCAGTCTCTTAAATGCCTCCAGTGATGGAGCACCCACAACTTCTGAAGGTAAACCATTCAGCAAAATAAGTAAACAGAATAATAAGCCTGGATAGTCTTTCCCACTGGACAAACTGCATTTATGCAGGCTATGGTCAGAAACGTGTCCAGAGGAGGCAGCCAAACCTCTGAAGCAAAATGCTTTTGTACGTCTCCATCGTGGTGATGAAATTCTGCTGGCTTTGTTCTTCCAAATATTTCCCCTGTGAAGTAGAAAATGGGGCATGCAAAGAGGGCAGCCTGGCCTGTGGCTGGATTGATGGCCCCTTTCTTTTAGTGCCACGATGGCTGGGCATTTTCTGTGCGGGGGGGGGGGCTTTAATTCTGAAATAACCGGGAGGCTTTTCACGCTCTGGCCAAGAGCACATTCAGGGTTTGGTATTTCCTGTTGTGTGTGAGAAAGCTGGCCTGGGCAGTGACAAAGTGAAGAAGGAGGGGAAAGAGAGGCAGCAGTGAAGGCAAAGAGATGGCCTTCCTCCCAGATTTCAGGCAAAAAAAAAAAAAAATAAGTGTCTGGGCAGAAAGGGAGAGAATAAAGAGATAGAACTCAGCTGGTTTTAATTAAGGCATAAAGGCAGAAAAAGATTTGGACCGTCGCCAAGAGAGCAGGGGTCCCCAACCTCCGGGCCTTAGCGCAGTACTGGGCTGTGGCCTATTTCGAACCGGGCCCTGAGAGCGTGCACATGGCTCAATCTGCGCAAGCGGAGAGCTGGTGCACATGCCTACACGGGTGCAGCTCAATGTGCATGTGGGGGTGCGCCAACCTGCTGCTCACACAAGTTGAGATGCAGGGGTGCACATGCGTGCTATCCCACCACTCGCATAGCTCAGTTCAATGATGAAAACTGTCTTGAATGCATTTGGGTCAATATAAAAGGGGGAAAAATGACATTGCCATAGGTGTAGACTATAGGCCACCCAACCGAACAGAGGAAATAGATGAACCTTTTGCTAGTCAGCTAACTAAGGTTTTAATGTGAGTTAGTGCGTTCATAATAAAAAATGACAATAAAGGTTTATCTTTATCTTAACTTCTTCACAACAACTTCTTTCTGTCCGAGGATTAGAAGTTCTGGTAGTTCATTGTTGATGCCTATATTTTCTCTCTCTTTCAGGAGGAAGATGATGATGGACTTCCCAAGAAGAAGTGGCCAACGGTGGATGCTTCCTATTATGGTGGGCGTGGAGTTGGAGGCATTAAGCGGATGGAGGTAGGGTGGTTGTAGAGTTGTCTGGTAATTATGGGGTTAATACAGAGCAGAAGGGGGGTTGGGGGTAAAGCCCGGGGAAAGAAAGAGGAAGAAAACATTTAACCTCCACACTAATTGGGTAATGTGAGATATGAGGGCTAATTTAGGAAGGGAACATGCTGATAATTTAACTGAAGAGGAGAATTCCCCACAGCCCAGTTTATGAATGGAGATCACACAGTCGGCTTGAACCAAGGATATTTGAACAGCATGGGGTTCAATGAATACAAGATTCAGCCCCTTAAGGAGCGTTCAAAGGAATATAATAAATGCAGATATTTCCAACCCCGATGGAAGATGGCCTTCCCAGAGAGAGGTTCATTACTAATGTATCACAGCTTTCACTCTTCTGTTTCTAACTGATAAAGCTAGTAATTAAGTATGTAAAACTTTCTGGCTAATTTATGTGCACCAGGAAAGGGAGGGGGGGTAACTCTCAATCAACTGTTGACCTGGTTGAGTTCCTTGATAAGGCTATCTAGTGGCCTTCCAGGAATTTTAGGGCCAGGATGTGAGGTCCAAGAATGATTATAAACTCAAGGTTTTTCACTGGTATGTTGCTCCAAAGTCTTCAAATGTACTCATTGCATTTGTGAACTTGATGAGATCAAAGAACATCTGAAGCAAAATCCCATATGAAGTTACCAACCTCCACTTCTCCTTAGACAGCTCTGGATGGAGTCATTAGAGAAGAGCTTGAGATCAAATTGATGGAAATGTTTCCCTTTTAGGTTCGTTGGGGAGAAAAGGGATCAACCGAAGAAGGGGCGAAGCTGGAGAAGGCCAAGAATGCACGAGTCAAGATGCCAGAACAAGAGTATGAGTTCCCAGAACCAAGGAATCTTGGAAGCAGCATACGCAGGTCCTCCTCACCACACAAGTGGTATTCTCCTATCAAGGTATGTCTCTTTGCTGTTGGGTTTATTATGCGAGCGAAATTCGAACAGCTTGATACAATGGTAAGATATGGGAGGTTCCATTCTATTCCATATGCTAGACGTATCCACATTTGCGTAGCGTAGAAGTAGAAGACTTGGCTCACATAACGTTTGATTATTGTTTGTATAAGAGGGTAAGAATATAAGAGGGTGAGAGACAGGTATCTTGGTTCATATATTAAACAAATGACCCATTGGGAACCCCATATTAAAACAACATATCTTATGTGTGGCCAGAATCTGAAAACAACACTTCACACAGCACAGTACTTGAGTAAAATGGTTCGGATAAGATCAGATTATGTGGGACTGATTGAGGTAGATTGTAGGGGTGGTATTGAAATATAATTTTACCTTATTTTACTTATCTATATATTAAATTATTGTATTTTACTCCAATTTCATTTTAAATTATTTTTATAGGATTTTATTAATATTATATGTTTGGGACTATGTATTCTGATATGGCCTGTGGGCTAATCAATAAATTAAACTAACATAGCTGTTGGGTTTATTATGATGATAACAAAGTTTTCATGCATATTGAGAGATCACCACACAAATGATATCTAAAAGAAGCATCCATGACTTCATCCTTGCTTATCCAGTTACTGCACCTTAATTGCTCTCTCGTCCTTGGAGGGGTCACAGGGAGAGAAATAACCAAACTAAGTATTTCTTCTTGGATTTCTTGTTTTTCTTTTTTTAGTGGTATTGTGTTGGACTGAGCTTTTATGATTGTATTTTTCAGTGTTTCCCACGTTACCTAAGTGGTTTTCCCCCTTTAGGATTTTTATCCATGGAATTTTTATTAGGCCCTCTCTGAGTTTCTTAAAGTCAGCTCTTTTAAAGTTTAAGACACTGGTTGAATTATATTCTATTGCTTGTGTTTGCATTATATTGAATTTCAAATATGACGTGGCCACTCTCGCCCACGGTTCCTGCAGTTTCAACTCCCTCTATCCCTTCTTATCTATTAGTAAGAATTAGGTCTACTATAGCTTTTCCTCTAGTTCCCTCCTCTACCTTTTGGATGACAAACCTGTCAACAAAGTTGGTTAGGAATCTGTTTGATCTCCCACTTGCTGCAAAGTTTGTCTCCCAGTTGATATCACAGTAGTTAAAGTCTCCCATTACTACTGTGGTATATTTCCTACATAAAATTGTTAATTGATTAGCAAAGAGCTCATCTATGTCTTCTGCTTGATTATGGGGCCTGTAGTATATGCCTAGTATATGTCATTTTTTCCCTTTTATTTTATTTTATATATACTTATATTATTTATTTTTTCCTTTTATTATATTTTATATTTATATTTTCTTTTATATTCACCCAGCAGTGAACCAGCAGCACTGCTTATACTGCATTACGATCAAGATTGTCCTAAAAATATCAGCCTTTTGGGCCAAGAAAAGCTGGATTTTGTAGCATGCATAAATTAGGCATTTCTAGCCCAAATATTTTTTTTTCATTCCTTTTCTTTTGCTTTTGGTTTTTGCTTGGCTTTGCATAATTAATTCTGCTTCTGCCAGACCTTGGAAGAAACAAGGAATTGTAAAGGTCACAAAAGTTCACTAGAAACTCGATCCAGCCACTTATTGGGATCTCAAGATTTCAATGTTGTAGAAGGACTAGAATCTTATTCCTTGAAACAAGGAAGAAAAATAAACTTGATATTTTGGTAGCTGAATTCCAGGACCAGCAGGTTTTCCTATTTTTCCTGCAATAGTGTTGCACATATCCACATATTAGCTTCCAAGCTAAATTCAAATTATTTACATGTCCTGGGTTCACATATCCCACTGTACTGCCATGTTTTGCTTTCATTTTTCTGCCACATCCCCCTTCTTCTCCCCAGCCCATGCCAGAAGCAGATCTAGGGCAACAGTTTTGGAGTTTCTCATGGTCTTTTCCCTAAAAAGCCAACAAGCTGATGTGTTTCACCAGTCTTTTTGCTGATGGATTGTCAAATGACGTGGGTGATCAACCAGCTTCTGTTGGCCATTCTAGGCCAAGTGAAGGCATGTCCCCTTTCCTTCCATTTGGAGGATGCTGTCGTCCAAGGCTTTTCTGCTTGGACACTGGGAGAGTGCATCCTTCAATTGGGAGAGTCTGCAACCTTCAACAGTCCTCTTTCCCTGGATCCAACAAGCTTCTGAGCTTTCCCTACCCAAAGACCTGGAGTAGCCCAGACAGCAATGAACTTGTTGAGATGTTGGACCATGAAGTGGGAGAAAAGAAGCCGCCTTTATCTTACATCATGGTTGAACTCCAGCATGACCCTGCACCCATCAGCTGTGGCTTGTTTTGAACTCTGGTTGAGAACTTCTGGTCTACATAAGTAGATGGCTTCTTGTTTTGGATTATTTCGGGGATCCCTATCACAAGAAAGGGGTTGGATTAGATAACCCATAAGATCCTTCCAATGCATAGGTTTTGTTTTGTGTCTCTTCTCTTCTATGAACTATTTTTTGAAGACTTTGCACATTTTCTTGCAGGCTACTAGGCATTAAAATTTGTACTGGCAACAAAGAGAAATTTGGTACCAAAATCACATCCTGGGGAACAGGACCTGGTTTAAATTAAGCCTAGCAGATGGCTATTTTGATGAAGAGCAGCATGTTAAAATAAGAAACAGCAAGGACCCCATTTTTTTTTCCTATCGAAATGACTTTCCATTATTATTTTTTCCTTTATAGTTAAGAAATCTGGAATATTGCCATTGTGGGACATGCTTATTTATTTATCCACGTTTGTTTGAAGAATCTTAGAGGACTGACATAGCCTCTCCTTCTTCAGCTGAGAGATAGAATGACAGACCCACAATCACTGTGGGACTTGCAGGATGGAGCAAGTCTGACGTCTGCTCTCTCTGGTGTGCTGTGCATCCTTTGGGCTGGCTGTTGTAGCCCAGAAAAAATGAGACATGCTCTTCAGACAGGCCTGAGCTCTCTTCATGTTTACATTCACCACAATAGTGTCTCCGGCTGCAAGGGAGCTATGCAAAAGAGCCATAGCCCTCCACTGGAATGAGGTTTGCAACATGGCTTTCTGTTCAACCCAGTTGGCTCATCGTAGCTATCTACTTGTTTCCCACACTGAATGTGCTTTACAAACATCCCCTGCCCCATGGAGTGACTGTTTCTTAGCTTGAATGACTGTCAGAGAAGTGAACCTTATGAAGATTGACTACCAACTTGTTTCTCTCTGTTTGTGGGGAGGTGAGGAAGTGTTTGGGGAAGAACCCTGGGAGCTCTCCTCTCCCTAGCTCTCCTCCATTATTGCTTCCTCACAATGTTTTTCTTTTGTACTGACTGTTTTATTTTCTTGTTTTCTGCCCAAAAGACGGAGCACAGTATAAAAACTAGAAATCAGTCAATCAATGTTTGCAGGAGTATAGAGTGAACTTGGGACTATGATACCACTCCTTGCTGGACGGAATACATAAAACAGATCCTTGTGAGAAAACGGAATTTGTCCATTGCCCATGAATCCCTCTGGAGGAGCAGGCACAGATGGCCCTGAAAAGGGGGAGTCAAAATGGCTCAGAGACCCTTTTCCAACTGGGGCCCCCTTAGAAATGTTAGGCTCCAATTCTTAGCATTCCTTCCCAACATCATCAATGACTACGTTGGGGTACATAAAATCAGATGCAGATCTGTTTCCCAACAAAAAGTCTGAGGAAGACTCAGAAAGTAGCCCAATTGTTTTTAGTACATGGATGGTGTGTGTTTTCTCTCATGTGTGAGTCAAGGTGGTGGTTTGATTTCTAATGTTATCTCATTAACGAAAAAGATGGATGTGTTTTTGTGCACTGGGGCTTCTGCCTCTTTTGCAAGCTGATTTATTTTGTGCCAGTCTTGTAGCAGATATATGATACCATTTCCTTGTTTTACAGGGAAAGCTGGATGCCCTCTGGGTTCTTCTGAGGAAAGGTTACGACCGAGTGTCCGTCATGCGACCACAGCCAGGAGACAAGGTAATCCTCCTTCTCCTTCACTCACTGCATACAACTTCTTTGGGTCTCCTGCGTAAGCAGGAGGTTGGACTAGAAGACCTCCAAGGTCCCTTCCAACTCTGTTATTGTGTATTCTATATTGTTTGCCAGACAAATCCCCGAAGTGCAAGCAGCTAAGTTCCAGGGCTACTACTGATTATCTGAATCTGCATGTGGGAGGTTTCCTGTTCCTTTAAATTTTGTTCCATTGAAAAGCTGGTGAAGATCCCTCTGGACCAGTTTCATAACAAAGGAATGATGTAAGAATGAAGGCTAAAGAGATGCAAATGCTGCTCTATTTCATTCCTGCCAAGCATTCGTTTTGGGATTTTTGCTTCTTAGTTAACATGTATTTTCTATAAAGTATTTTCTTGCTACCTCACACATTTCAAGTGCTCTGATAGAAAACAGGAAACAAAACTCCATGTTTCAGATTAAAGGGCAAAAATTAACTTCCATGTTCAACCCATTTTGCAATCTGAAATATAACTATTTCTTAGCATCTTCACTGCCTCAAATTTTGAAAGCAGTTCAGTTAGCCAAATCTGAACAAGAGAACACAGACAAATGGAAACAACATTCAAAACCTGCACTTAGACAAAACCTGCAAGAACTTTGAACGTCAGGCAAAATTTGCAAGCAGAATGTAAATCTTTGATGAAATATGCATAGCATACATACCAATTTAAGTGGAAATCAAGAACAGATCTGAAAAAATAAGAAACCAAGATCAACTGTTTAGGCGTAGTTGGAGAACAACCCTGTTAGTCTATGAGCTCACAAAAACTTATGCTACACCCCTGGTGTAGAGGCCAAAAAAATCTGCAGAAAATATTATTTTGAAAACTGGTCCCAGTCAAACGTGGTTGTATTGCACACGAATTCTTGCCAACTGGGGTAGAATTTCATTTTCCAGAATCGCTCAGGAAGGCTGCTTTGTGCCGCCAATGGAAGGAGATAGCCTTGGCCAAGAGATATCCGGTAGGGGGCAAAGAAGTCAGGATGGCAGCCACAACCACCTGGCAAGAATAAAGGGCAGCGCTTCCATCATGTGGTTGTGCCCCACAACTTAACTTTTTGAACCCACCTCCCTGCAGAATCCCCTGGCCTGGCCAGTTTACAGTGGCAAAGAGGCCTGGGGAAATGTTCCTCAGCCCATGGTTCCCAGCCTCGCATCATTGAGGCAGGATTGCTCAGTTTTGATACTGCTGGTGAGGCAAAAGGCAAATCGCATTTCTGTAGCTGATTTTCAAGGATAGGGCTGAACAAAGTTGTGAAATGAATTTCCTTGAGGAAGGTTGCCACCAAGCACAGCTGTTTGCAATCAGAGCAAAGGACTATGGTCATGTGGTAGCTTACGGTCGGCTCACATTTTCAAGGGCTGAGGTTTGCAATTTTCTCGGATTAATGAGGTTATTTTTACTTTCAAGAGGACAGCCCAAATGCCCACTTCCCTACCTTAAAAGAGGCACAAGGGCTGTTTCCCCCCCAAAAAACAGGATTGGGAATGGGGGCCTTAATTAATGGATTGTACTTGTGGAATTCTGCAGCTGTGTTTTTCCTTTGCATGATAAACGGTGGCTTTTTAAGGCGTTTGTTAGCCAGCTATCAGATGTGTTCACACTTAAAGCTTCAGGAGCTCTTAATGCTGTCCGAAAATTGTTTACCTCTCCCCTCCCTCCAGTCTGTGCATTAAAAAGGAAAATTGCTAACTGCACAAACTTACATGCAAATTAAGGTATGGAAGGAATTACATTATCAAGAACCGATATTCTTTTCTATATATGAATATTTATTATTTTCTATATAAAATACAGTTCTTTAACATCTAGGTAGCAATAAATACAGGTAGTCCTCGACTGACAACCATTCATTTAGTGAAGGTTCAAAGTTACAACATCACTGAAAAAAGTGACTTAGGACCATTTTTCACATCCCCACGGTCACGTGATCAGAATTCGAATGCATGGCAAATGGCTCCTATTTACGACAATCACAGTGCCCCGAGGTCAATTTTTGCGACCTGACAAGCAAAGTCAACGGGGAAGCCGGATTTACTTCACAATTGTATTACTAGCTCAACAACCACAGTGATTCATTTCATAGTGGCCACAAAGGTCATAAAATGGGGCAAAGCTCGCTTAACAACGGTCTCACTTAGCTACGTTACCAAATGCGTACGAGATCAATTCAAAGCCTCCAAATTGCCATTCGGGTTTAGTTCACCTTCCTTCTGTGGATTTTGGAAATGCAAATTAAATAGGACACACGGGACATTTCCATGTCAGTATATGCATTTATTTATGCATCCACAGCATGTATATTTGCAGCGTGTCAATAACTTTGCAAGGAGCCCCCCCTCCCTCCACACAAACAATATGTAGTCCTCCCAGTGCCAAGCATTTCCCCAAATGTGGTTAATGCTTAGGCAGGAATGGGGCCCCTGGATTTTAAAAGTTGAGTGTGTGGCACAGACACGTTCCCCTCGGGGTGCAAATAGTTGATGTTTGTAAAACACAGCCTTGTGCTGGAGCTCTCAGAGTCTCCTGTCTGCTTTCTAATCCCCTCCATCCCCAAGAAGCCCACCCTGCCTTTGTTCCTAAATTCCGGGTCCAAATTCTGCTTTGTATCCCATCTGCTCTGGTGACCCGACATTTGGAGAGCTCTTTGTGTTCTGCAAACATTTTACTTGATTTTGCAGGGGACTTCAGGAGCTCCAGTCAGATTAACCAGTGTTTTTTCTGTCCCTGCTGAGCAGGCTTGTAGGCAAAACAAACTCAGGCATTTCTGTTTCTGGCTGGGGTTTCTGCCAGCGGCTATCATTTCTTCATGATTAAAATATCTGGACATTAAGAAATCCAACTGGACTAATCCTGCTTGAGCTGCCCTTCGGGGCCAAAGAGGAGAGGTGGGTCTGGGTGCTGGAGACGCAGCTGGCGAACCATCGTGTTTAGTTTTGCTGAAGGCAAAGACAGACATGAGATCCTCGGATTATTTCCCGGCTCAGAACGCAAAGGGCCTCGGAGAGCCAGCCCCGGCCAAAGGCTCTTGCGGAGCAACCTCCAACTCTAGGGCACCGCTCTGCGTCACAGGCACAGGATGTCCTCGGCTTACGTTCACCACGGAGCCCAACATTTTTCTTGTTAAGCAAGATAGTTGTTAAGTGAGTTTTGCAGTTTTGCTCTCCTCTCCCCAAGGCATTCAGAATTGGCAGTGTGTCCTGTGTTTGCCTTGTCCTACTGGAAGGTCTCATTTTTTTTTTTTTTTTTTTTGCTTGTCTTTCAGGGACGCTGCATTACCTTCACCCGAGTGAAGACCTTCCAGGCACCACCCAAGTACCCGCTCAACAACACCTACCTCCCCTCTCCCCCTCCCCCTGCCCCTGCTTACAACCCTCCCTCCCTTGCCCCCATCTACACCCCACCAGCCCCCAGCTCACCCACGCCCCCCACCCCTTCCCCACCCTCCACGCTGCTTCCGCCCCCTCCTCATGCTCCTCCCCCCAGCCGGGCTCCGCCTCCTTCCCGTCCCCCTCCCCGCCCTTCCATCTAAGGTCCAAGCCGCTCTCCCAGAAGCATTTCTCCAGCCATCCTCAACTGTACTGTTGCAACTCCACTCACAGACGTGGCCTTTGCGTTCTGGGCAATGAAAAGAAGAAACTGCTTTTATTGTTACTTTTTTTTAAGAAAGGGAAAAAACCCTGATGCCTCAACTTTACTGGAAATCTCAAATCACCTGTTTTCAGTTCCAAAAGAATCTTTGCAATTTGAAGGAAAGGAAAGGAAAGGAAAGGAAAGGAAAGGAAAGGAAAGGAAGGAAGGAAGGAAGGAAGGAAGGAAGGAAGGAAGGAAGGAAGGAAGGAAGGAAGGAAGGAAGGAAGGAAGGAAGGAAGACTGTGGGATAAAGATGGGAGACAATGGCATCATTGGGCAAAGCCAGTAGTCCCTGGAAAATGGCTTTCCCCGTGAATTAGTGGTGGGAATATCTGGAGAAGAGCCTGTCTGTGATCACAGAATCCACTGCAGTCCAACACAATGCCCTTCCTATCAACTGGGCTGATGCTGCTGGAATTTTCTGCCAGAGGGATGATCATTTTTCATGGGTCTGGACTGGGTGTGTTTTTGCAAGAATGAGAGCTGTTACAGTGAAATACAGGTTACAGTAATGGATGGAGAGCAGAAAGACTCCAGGGGCCTTCCACTTTGCAAAACAAAAATGAAACCACATAGCTTTTCAGCTAACGACAGGCAGTCGAGGAAGCTGGAGAGCCAGACTAGGGTGGGAAGAGTTCCACCATCCTCTGAGGATACATTGGCAGACATCCTGTGCAATGTCTAAATACCTGAAAGCGTCAAGAAGCAGTTGATTTTATAGGAGGACACAAAACAGCTGGAAATAGCCAAACATGCTCTCCTCCTCAGATTCTTCTTAACATAGGTGACCAAATGGGTCAAATTCTGGCCAGCTTAGAAAAATAACCAGCCCAAATTGACAGCAGGACACCAGAGTCAACCAGAGTGAGATACAGACAGAACTGGATTAACAGTACAATTATATACGCTGAGTGTTTTTTTTTCTTTTTTCTGAATAACTATGGTTAGACGCCGATTGTCAGAGACTTCCAGGTACAATTTATATTATGCAATTGCTCTGCTCTAAAACAGATTCCTATGCAGGGGGGTGGGGGGTAGGAGGGGATAAGACAGCTCTATTTCCATTTCTACATTGACCAGATTTTTTCCATTTTTTGTTCGCTTGTTTTCTGTTGCCGTAAAAATAGCAATCCAGAAGGGAAAATGAAAGAATGCAGAGAGTTGATAGTGCTGGAAACAATTGCCTTTTTGGAGGTGTTAACAAAGACTTTTTTTCCCCCAGCGGGTTCATATACTAGTATGTTGACATGGTTTTGTGGATTGTGTAATGGATGTCTAGAATGAGAGCTGGGGCAGAGAGAACTTTTCTAGAGGTGTTTAGATCTCAGTCTGAGTTATATTTTCTCAGAAATAGAAGGATCCCAGAAAATAGAAAGAGGCCAGCAGAAGCTGGGGATGGTCTGATGATGTTGCCCTGGCTGGGTTCACTCATCAGATTAGCCCAGGTTCAACTGGGATGGAATGGGGCTGTTTTCATGGCCCTTCTGCATTTTGCCAAGGGAGGCAAACTATCCAGGTGCTCCAAGATGCCCTGATCGCATTTTGTCCTTCTTTGTGCGTTATAAATTGGGGCAGGGGGTGAACCAGTTTAAGGCCACTGGTCCTGCTCAACATCACCGGCAGGAAAGCACCCAAGACCCTCCCTTGGGAGCCGAGGATGTAATAAGGAGCAGCAACTTTCCGAGTTCATGCACACCAAATGTTTGAATTTTTATGCCACTTTAACTTAGTGGATGCTTTCCGGAAGGACAACTTAAGTAAACATCTTCCTCTGCGCTTATCAGATTACTTCCAAAAGCGAAAGTTAAGCATTTTGCACTTTTATGGCTTCAGTGGTGCAGCTTTTCATCCCTTGGCTTAAGCATCCTTCATTTAAGTATAACTCAATGCTACCTGACAGTATTTTACTTTGGTTGGCTTGAGCTCCTGAATTGCCATCATATTAGATTGCTCTTCAGGCATAGCAATGTGGGTGTTGCAGATGGGGTCAAAAAAAACCCAAAGATGATGGCTAGAATTACAGGATTAAAGCACCACTTCTCTGTCTGATGCGTCTCGCATCCATGTGCTTAAATAAGGGATGGGCTTTACTTGTGCAGTCATGGCTGCCATCTTGACTTTTCTGACTCTTCTTGCAAGGGGTCTGCAGAGCTATTAATAGGAACCTGCATGGACCATGTATCTCCCCATCATATTTGTGTGGGCTCTACAGCTAGAAGATTTTTCTTGGAAAGCCTGGTTGTTAGGTGACACGTGTGCTTAATGTCAGCAGTAAGCCCAAAAAGAAGAGAACATCAATTTGTACCTTTGCCAGGGCACAGTTTTGCTCAAAGGGATAACATGCCCAACTGCCCTGTAATGAAATGCAGAAGGTTCTGTTGTGTGCAAAGCACACACCCATCTCTGCAAAGTGACATGTGAAAGTCAGTTTTTTTTTAAAAAAAGAATGGACCACTCATGGAGTCTTTTTGGGAGTTCCTACCTGGCTTTTGACTGCACATTACAATGATTAAACTCAATAGGACCTTTTCTAAGGCTGAAGCTGAAGCTTTCTACCCGACCTATTTTCATGCCAGCAGAGACAGAGAGATTTTTTTCAGTGATCTACTAACAACAAACTGTAAAACTATAAAACAAGCGATGGTCTCTGTTTATTCCCTCCTCAAAGAACAAAACACAAAAGGACATGGTGGACATTAAGCATAAAAAAAAATGTCCTGGGGGGAAAAGTTCTCCTTTTGGGGGGCCACCTACCCAGAGCTGCTTCTTCAGCCCTACAGAAAGATTCAATTGCCTTTTTCCATAGATCTTTCTTCCAGAACAGATAACTGCTGTGTCTGCAGGCAGAACAGTGAAGATTTCCCTCAACACACAAGCATACACATGCATCCCTTTGGCTTCTGCCATGTGAGATCCCTCTTGAGAAATAACCTTTCATTGGATTGCAGCTTGTGATCAATTTGATCACTGGGGTTTACCTCTTAGGGAAGCCGTAACACCCGGATTGGCCTGTTAGCAATGGTTGGGAACAATCCACTTGAGTAGCTCCTTAAGTTTCTTCCAGATGGAGCTTGCTGGGTATCCAGCAGAGATGGATGGGAACTCCAGAAAAGTAGTTCCGTGGTTTTGTTGTGATTTGTCAGGAAGACGACTCAACAGCAGAGCGATATACCCAGCGGAGGTAAAATAAAGTCAAGTTGGTGGTCACAAACTCTGTGATCAAAGCTTTACCTTTTTAGGTGTTATAAAAAGGTTGGGTCTTCCATTGCATGGCCTTTATCTTGACTTTGCCCCCTCCCCATGGATATCCTCTCTTCAGACTGTGCTCAGAAATATTGCTGTAGTCATGCCATATAAAAGTAGGTTTTACTCATTATAATTAACAGTGCCTCAAAATGTGCCAAAATGCTTTGAAAAACAAACCCAGCATTTTTTATTGCTAATTGCATGGGGACAACTTGAGAGGGAGTTCAATTTTAAATAGCATCTGGTTTTATTAAAAGCTTTTGTCTTCTCAATTCTAGACTTAAAAGAATATAAATTCCCAGGGTAACAGGGAAAGGATACGAAATAATTAAAAAAATGTAAATCCAGACAAAGATACACAAATACAAATATGCAAAAGTTCTGTGCACAAGTGAAAAGCAAAATTCCAAATCTGTGGTGTATATATTATTATTGTGTGCTTGCCATATTTTAAATGGAAGCATTTCCTATTCTGTATGGATAAAAGGTCTTGTTTTTTTTTCACATTGTAGTAAATTATTATAAAGCCAATGATATTTCATGGCATATTATTATATCAAGCTGTGCTTGTTTATTTTTTTCTCTTTATGGTTGTATTGCTTTTATTAATGTATAAATATTGTCTCTAAATGACAAGCACCTCCTTTACAAAGCATTAATGGTGATCACCGGCCGTCTTCCACTCAACCAGCAAGAAAGCTGCTGGACAGCAATTGGGGGCTTCTGTGGGGAACCTGCCCATTCCTTGCCCTGAACTCCCATTGATTTGGTTGAAGTCACATTGCAGGAGAAACACCCACCCTCCATTTCCCACCCCCACCCCCACATTAGGAGAGACTGACCCATGGCAGCACAAGCCAGAACTGGAAAAAGCCATAGGGCTTCGCATGCTGGGAAGGGCGTCTGGTGCACCTCCACCCCTTGGCGATGGCTTTGCACAGGACATCCTGCAGAAGCGATTCAAATGTCCTCATTCCCCATCTCAGGGACCCCCCAAAATTCAGGCAGCTGCTGTTACAGATTGTGCCCAACACTTCTACAAGGTGCTATGGATCTGAGCAGAATGAGCTGTTTGCAAGGCCTGAATCCAAGCAAGGCTTGAGTAGGAGGAACCTTCTAAGTCTAAATGGAGGCTTCCTAGATGTCACCATGTCAATAGAGCAACGGGCGTGTTGGGCCAGCGCTGCCGAGAACGCTCTTTCCCAGGGCTCAGGATACGCAGGCCCACAATTGCTAAGACGGCTTCTCTTTCCCTTTCTTGATGTTCCCGGGTGACATAAGAGCCAACGGGATCGGCTCAAAACATTCCAGCACCTGGAACTGAGAAGCCAAGACTGGAAGGGCTCAACTTGGGACGGTGACACTTAATGTTACGTGACGGTGAGGTTGAACTGGGGTTTGTACTATGTATGGACATACAGTACTATGTAGGCATTTTCTCTCACTAGGAAGCCCTTGGGCCTCATTATGTTAAATAATGCAAAATTAACCATTCTAAAGAATTCCTTGCAGAATGGAGGAGGATTGGATTCAATTGAATAGTACTGCATGTTTTTTTTTTCTCATAAAAGTTTTGGACATACTGTATTCTTTGAAAAGTTTTACAGATCAGCAGATGACAACCGATCAGTCTTGGTGAACTAATATGTCATCCATGGGATTATGAATTCAAGGAGTCAGAGTGGTCTAGGGACTCCTGCTTGAGCAGGATGTTGGACTAGAAGACCTGGAAGGTCCCTCCCAACCCTGCTGTTCTGCACGCAGCTCAGTGGGCCAAACGCAGGAGACCAGGCAGGGCCACCAATCTGGCCCTGTGGGAAGACCGGATGGAAACCGCAAATGGGGCAGCCGGTGCAGCGGATGGAAATCAGGCAATTCACGATTCTTCAGCCAGCATAAACAAATTATTCTGGGCCTTTGGCTAGTTTGCATGAGTCGTTTTTTTTAATTAAATGCAGTCATTATTCTGTCAGTTCTGATGTTATTAAAAAAATAATAATCTTGAGCTTCGGTTTTTATGTTCAATTTGTAGAAAAAAGGAAGTGACGGATGAGGCAGGCCCTCCCTTTCCCGCTCCCCCCCCCAAATATTTAGTCTTGTATTTGTGGAGGACTCCTCATCCAGCAACAGCAGCTGAATAATTGACACCAATTATTAATAGCTTTATGGGGCCCATTGGCTCAGTGAACGTTTATGCGTGCAATTTTAATTCTAAAATATCACATCATTTAAGGGTTTATATAGAGACCATTAAGTCTAACTTACTGATCAATGTAGAAATCCACATTTATATCGAAGTCTTTCCCCAAAAATAGCTGTGCAGCAACCTCTGCTTGAACACATACACACACACACAGATTGTTAGATCCTTGTCAAGCACATATGGAGATTTTCCCAATGTTCTACCAAAACAACTTAAATATCACAGTTGCTGGGACCACACAAGCTGCTCCATCAGCCACATTCCAGCATGGTGTCTTGTGTTTAGCCAAAGTTATCTTGCTTAGGCCATTAGAGTTCATAGACCAGACTCCATGACAATGAACGTCTACTGGCCCAGGAGACGGTGTTTGAGGGAAACCCCCTCCCCAAGAGATGAACCACATTAAGAGGCCAGAAATAGATAGTGAATACTTGGCAAGTTAGCCAAGAATGTGGGGCATGGGTGGTTTTGCTGCCTTGAGGGGGTTCTGCAGATTCAGCCCAACTGGGCCAATTTGGGAGGTGACTGGCCATTTGCAGAGTTCGTCGAAAGCTGACCAGGTGGAATACGAAGCCGCCTCAAAGTTGCAAATATCTGCAAAAATATTATTTTTTTATAGCAAAAGCTTGGGAAGAAAGTGCAGAAGATCGTGGCTGCAATAGTGTGAATACAGCTTTGGTCTCTTGTGTGTAAAAACAGGGTGGGGCTTTGATAACAGAGTCAGGGCTGTTCCGTGCCTCAGTTGGGGAACAAAACCCGGCCAAAATAATATACTCTTTGCAGGGCATTCATAAAATGAGTCCAACCCATGATTTCAAAATCAGGGTCAGGATGAAGGCAGGCCTAACCATGCAGACCTTTCCCCTTTTACAATTTTTGCCAAAGCCCACCTAAGACCAAATCTGAGTCATTGTGGGTGGCACGTGTCGCTGAAGGAACCCCAGTGGTCCAAGGATGGCTCAAGTAAGGAAGAGTGTGCACTTGTCTTTATTCAAAGAGCAAGGTACAAAAATAAAATCACGAGAACAACTGAAATGATAAACATTACACACAAAACGAACTATGGTCCCATCAATCAAGACAAGCTGAATATATTCAAAAAAAGAAAGTGAACCGGTGCTCACCTCTTTCCATCGTCTCACACACACACACACAGGCCAATTTCCCTCAGCCCAAGCCAGCATTGAACTGACCCCAGGAGGCACAGGACACAAGGCCAGGTGCCCTGGAAAGCGGCCCCCCACCTTTCCGGTTTTGGGGGGGGAGGGAGAGGAAAGGGTGCACACACAAGCTTCACACGCACAAGACAGTGCCCTGCAGCTTGTGCAAATGCAGCTGTGCACACGATCGCCTGCCACTTGAGTGGCCTGGTTCCAATGTTGGCTTCCAATAGGTGGGGCCTCTTTTTCCTGTTCAGCGCATTCTCAGACTTAAGAGTAGCAGAGACCAAGCTGAGTGAAGAGCCCCCTGCAGCCATCCTCAGGCTTCTATGTTATGGCAGCTCAGGTGGGAACCAGCAGCCCGAGGAGAATGGAGACCGAGCATCTGGACATTACACAAATGCCAATGTTGGCCAAGAAACTTCTTTTTATAATAAAATTTCTGAACTTTCCAGTGTTCGCTACAAACTACCATTTCTTTCATGAGTGGAAAGCATCATTTTAGGTTGAATATGCATGCTGTAGACTCCTATGCACTTAGCAAGCGGTCCTTAAATTAGCTTCCATCTAATGATGCTGCTGGTCATCTTCCCCCCTGCCCAAAGTGCACAGTGAGGAAAGAAGGATGGTCAGTGTCTCCCTGTGTCACCCTATTAGGATAAAAGGGTGAGAGAACAGGCCCAGATTCAGCTAATTTCTATATTCTGACACAGTTTAAATTTCTTTTAAATTTCTGTGCAATTTGCCTTTTCTCCATTCTAGAAATGCATCAATGAAAGCCTTTTTGATGCCAATGTCTGTCCCACTGACTAATGAGAAGGAAGTTGAAGGGCGGCATATTTTGGTCACTCAGGATTTTTATTATGTTCACATCCTCTAGAGATTTCAGAGCTATACGATGTTTCCTGAGGCATCCATTTATCTTTGGTCCTCTCCTTATGTCGTATGCCTTCCCTGCTGTATTATTCCCATTGGGGTCATTTTAGAATCATTTTAGCTTTCTTTCCCACCGCAGAAATATCAACATAATATCCACAAGAACAGAGGGCTGATCTAGTTTAAAAGACTCTTCAAAGCCAACACTCTGAACAGAAAGAAAAGCTGCCCGTTTCTGATAACTGGAGAAGCACGGGGCCTTGAGATGGCGTTTTGCTGAGGCCCCTCCAACTCAAAATCCAGAGGTGTTTTCCCTCTTTTTATCAGGAACAGGAATGCTACGCAGAGCAGACCTAAAATATGTCCAGATGGAAAACATAACTCCCTTGTTCGTCCCTGGTCTGCAGATTCACCGGAGGACACCTATTCCGACTCTGCTGTTGCCCCTGGAGTCCACCACACCCCCTCATGCATCAAGGGAAGCAGGAGAAGGGCTGAAGGGCTGCCCGGACAGGGGCTGGTTCGCCTTCAGCCACAGACTTTTTTTCTCATTGCACCTTCAGATGCTGGCATTTCTCTTTGATGCATTGAAAAATAAATTCCTTGAAAAGTGGAAATTGACCTTGTTTGGAGGAAAGGGATTTCTCTGCTCCTCACTTAAAAATGCCAAGATTAAGTCAACCTGCCGTTGTTTGACTTGATTCCCATTAAAGACTGACACAGGCCTTCACCTCAGAAGGATCAGCTATGCAGATCTCTGTTTATGGAGGGGGGGGAGGTACTTTCACCCCCTTTTGCAGGTCTGGGGACGTAATAGCAAACTCTAAAATGCAGCCTTTGCAGTCAAGAACTGATAGACAATCCACCCACCAGGAGTGGGTTGGAAAAATGCTCAGGGAATGGATGTCTGGGGTGGCACAGACTGCACAAATATGGACTGCTGGGGGGGGGGGAATGCACTGGCCAGCAGAAACCTTGGAGCCAAAAAAAAAGTCCATCCGGACTCTCCCGATGGTGGCCATGGAGCACTTTTGGGAAAGAAGGCAAGTCCTTCTATGTCATCTGCAATTTCATTTCTAACCCTGCAGGAGCTCACCCCCTCTGAATGTCCTAGAGATAACTAGGAAATGAGGCAATTTTATATAACCGCTGAGGATTACAACAAACAATTTAAAAGGAAAAAAAAAAAAGGGGGGGGGAAACAGTACTCTTGACTTCGCTGCCACGGAACAATGCTACTAGGAGCTTATGGATTCAAATCCTAACTATCACAAATGCAACAATTACAGTATAAAGATTTTTCTATATTGGAAGTAAGAATTGATCACAGGAGAAGGTTTAAAATCAGCGTTTTTCGGTACCAAAAGTGAAGGGGAAGGAATCTTTTGTCAACCTTGGGCAAGCATCTCATTCAACCGTAACAGATTTGGCCAAGTTTCTTGGAAAGTCAACCTGGAAGAATGAAAATGATATAAAAACTATTAAAATCTTTGTCATAGTAAAAATTAGGGATGCTTGATGGTTCCTCAGCTCTGGCTTTGCTCGGAAGCCACGAATGCCTGCTCTTACATTTAGCCTAGCTCAGGGGTAGGCAACCTTGGCTCTTTTATGACTCATGGACTTCAACTCCCAGAATTCCTGAGCCAGCTAGTTGAAGTCCATGAGTCATAAAAGAGCCAAGGTTGCCTACCCCTGGCCTAGCTGATTCCCAGGAATTTGCTGTGTCCACTTAACCCCCTGACATCATAGCCTGAAGTGAGTTATTGAACTTCTGGGTTAACTGGGAAGAGGAGAGTGAAAGGGGCTTCCAAAGAGCTGTAACTTACATCGTAGCCTCTGAGCACAGCCAGATGGAAAGCCAGCAGCTGTAAAGGAATCACACTCAGGATGCCCTGCAGACAGTCCACCGAATGGGGGACTTTGATGGTTCGCTTGTTATTCTTGATGGTCTCAATATCTTCCTTACCACAAATCACGACAGGCCGCCCCTATAAAAATTAAACAAAAGGAGTGAACAGAGAAGTCTCTACCGACTCGATCTAGCCTCAAAGACACACATGGGGGCCATCCGTGAGGACTGGACTCAAAAGAGTCGAACTGTAATGGTTGTGCCTGCCATCTTGCCTTTCTTTGATGCCCAGCTCTCTCAAGGACAGTATCTCCTCTTTGCTGGTCCCTTATGGCCCAATTAAATTTGAATGGTTTGGGGAACTGTCTTCAATGGTGGGCTGGTTGGTGAGTTGCTAGCCATTCCATTCCCAATGGACACCTTGACTTGGTGTCTCTGGAAGGTACAATGAGCAGTCAGCCTCCCCCCTCCCATTCAACTCCCTCCCCCCCCCAGTTCATGGCAGACTAGCAGCTGGCGGATGCGAAACGCAGGCCTAAGATGGCAGTTCTGACATCCACCAAGAAGCTCCCATGTGGGCCTCCTCCAGCTGAAACGAGGTCCTTCATCTTTATGAGGGGTACTTTGTTTTGTTAACAGTCTGCTATTTTTTTCATTAGAAAGCAGGCAGCTTCCCTGCTGAAACTGACTAAAATACAATCAGCAGGGCTCATTACCCCATTCAATATTCCGGGGGGGGGGGGAGAGACACCACTTTGCTCACCTGCCGTGCCATCACCTGCTGCAGCGCATTCTGGCATTTGGCGTAGGTGTTGTCCCTCATGATGATCATAATCACGGGCATCAGCTTATCCACCAAGGCGAGGGGGCCGTGCTTCAGTTCCCCAGCCAGGATGCCTTCCGAGTGCATGTAGGTGATCTCTTTGATTTTCTAAGCAGAAGGACCCCTTCGTTAATCTCAGCTGCCTTGGTCGAGAACCAAAGTTTTCCCTGTTCTCGATCTTTCAAGACATCTACTATTTGTCGAGAGAAAGTCAATGTGAAACCTCTACGTGAATTCCTTGAAAAAAAGACGGGCCCAGAACAACTCCTTCCCTTGGCCTCCTTCCTTCTGAGAAAAGGTGGAACAGTGAAGGAAGAACATTGTGGTAAGGCTTCCACAGAGGACCAGCCAGAACAAACCCTTTGCTTTGTTCTCCTATAGATGCCACTTTCCAGACTGTGCCCCATCTCTAACATTTTGTGAATCAGCCCACTCAGAGGATGCTTCTGAATAAAGTTTGTCCTGCAGAAGACCTATTTGAAATGAGGGATATCTTGAAACTCACTGGGATGGTTTATCATTCCAGAAACAGGGATGACTGGAAGGCAATGGGGCATTGTCCAAAAAAAAAGTCAAATGGTACAAATATGGCACTTACAACCAATGTAAAAAATCTTGACTTCCAGCTGGGCAGATACACCTGCCCAGAACTTCCTCTGTGTATCTGAAAAGCATTAGAGGAGACTGAAGATAAACTCAGGTGGGGAGCAGAGCCCCAGTGTGGTCCCTATATCTTTGCTAGAAAAGAAAGCATCCCATCAGCTACAGAGCCTTATGCTTTGACCATCTTCAAGTGGTCAAAGTTGAGAAACCCTGGTTTAGATCTTTCGCTTTCAAAGACTGTCCACATTCCGGTCTTTGGTACCCCTCCATGATTACGAATGACCATGTCTGGCAGGCTTCTCATTCACTACCACCCCCACTTTATCTGCCCCAAGGGACTAGGAACATTTTTCTCTCCAACTGGTGCAACTGCAGCTGCCAGTGAGCCGTGTTCACGAAGATGTGGGTTCAAGAGGATGCTCACCAGGGCGCCTTCCAGGCAGGTTGCGTAGTGATAGCCTCGCCCCATAATGAGGATGGACTTCTGGTGGTAGAGCTCTGTGGCCAGTTTCTGGATCTCATCGTCCATGCTCAGCACTTCTTTAATCAAGTCTATCAAAAGCAACAAGAAGCAGCAATGCTTCAAAAGCACACAACTCGCCCCGGCTACTGAGTGTTCAGAGACCTTTGAAAAACAGGCTGAAAGGGACCCCCTCTTTATAAAGCTGTCGAGTATGGCAAAGGGCTCATTACGGGCAGAATCTGAAGCCATGGGGTTGCAACCGTGGTTTTTAAAATGAGGGGCGCAGATTGCCTTTCTTGCAATGGCACAGGGTCTCCTGCTTGAGCATGGGGGGGGGGGAACTAGAAAAACTCTGAAGTCCCTTCCAACTCTTATTATTCTATGTTTTATGTTCTACCTGCCCCAAAGGCAGTTCACCTCCCTTCACACACATCTCCCTGTGCGGAGGACACACTAGTCAAAAGTGCTGCCACAAAACTCCCATTTGCATTTATTTATTTAAATGTGTGCAGCATCTCCCATAATTAAACTCTGGGTGGCTCACCAGTGGAAGCGAGACTCAGAGGAATCCAATTCAAATATTCAAAATGAATGGTTGGTTACATGTACCTACCTGGCAACAGCTTGAGGCCTCGCATTATTTCTTTCCTCCGCTCTTGCATAGAAATTCTGTCGTCGCACATCATGAGCGCAAACATTACTAAGGAGACAAACTGGCTTGTGTAGGCCTGGAGAAGAGGGGAGAATAAGGCAGCCTGTTGAGCAGAAGCCTCTAAGGGTCCCTTAAAGCCAGTTCAGGAAATGCCTGGAAGGCCAGCCGCCTTCTCCCCTCCCTCATCATCCGAACGGAGAGGCTGTAAGGAAGCCAGATTCACCTAACAATCACATCGCTAACTTAACAACTGCAGTGGTTCACTTAACCCTGGCAGGGAAGGTCGTAAAATGGAGCAAAATTTTGGGCTCACTCGATGTCCTAAATCGTGGACTACGACATTGTCAGCTTTTCTAAGAATTGTTTGGGTCAGGGGTAGGCAACCTTGGCTCTTTTATGACTCGTGGACTTCAACTCATTGAGCATGGCTGGCTCAGGAATTCTGGGAGTTGAAGTCCACGAGTCATAAAAGAGCCAAGGTTGCCTACTCCTGGTTTGGGTTAACTTCCATTTCTTCTCTCGAGTGGTGACTCCAATCTCCAGAAATGCAAGCTCACCTGGGGAAACAATTCAAAGAACCACATCTGGCCCTTCTGGGCCCTGGCCAGCAGGAGTTGGAATGCTGACCGCCCAAAGCTGCCACCAAGCCCAGAGTGCCCCCAAATGCCATCAGGACAAGAACTTTCCCCAAAGAACGCGAAGGAGGGAAGGCTGGACGTGGCTTGGCCAGGCCTGGATTACGGCCCCTTGCAGACGCAACTCCTCGGAGGCCCCTGCCTCGAGCTAATCAGGATTGATTTGGCTTTGCTCAGCTCCTCAGAGATCAGGCAAGGCACAGGCTGAGGAAGCTACGCTCTTCTCCCGAAAATGAGAGGTCAGGAAAAGGTTCAGCCCCCTGGCTGGACTTTTGCTTTGTTCAACTGCTTTAGTCTGCTGGGGTTCTGGATGTCCTCCATCCTCCGCCGAGCCCCCTTCTCCGGGGTTCTGGGTGGGGCACCACTGCCAGGGGAGCCCTTCTGCTGGAGAATCCGTGGGGAATGGAGAAGCCACGGGCCCCTCTCTCCGGGGCAAGGCAGCTGCCCCCAACCTTCTCCCTCTTTTTCAAGAGCCCAGAGATCAATCTGTCTCCACCAAATTCCAATCCGCTTTTTGAGCTGGGAGTCACAAATGCATAGTAATCCAAAATAGATTTACCCTCCTGAGTTCTGGACTGGATCTCTCATTGAGGATGGAACAGAGCTTGAGTTCGGAGGAAAAGACAGCTTTACATTTTGGTTCAGCCACAAACTATGATTCTCACCTGTCCTGCCTTTTCTGAGTACACATAAAACAGAGGCCCTTTCAGAATGCAGGTGGAGGATAATTAATTCTCGGGACCCCACTCCTGTCCTTAAGAGCAGCAGAAGTGGCCAGGGATCGTCAGCACGGGTACCAAGAGTAAGGCCTATTTGTGCAGACCTGCTTGTCTGAGCTCACTTTATGCATAGGATCCTCACCTTTGTACTGGCCACCCCAATCTCTGGCCCAGCATTGATGTGCACCCCGCAGTCTGTCTCCCGTGAAATGGAGCTCCCAACAGTGTTGGTGATGCCCACCGTGAGGGCCCCCCTCTCCTTGCAGTACCGAAGGGCCATCAACGTGTCAGCTGTCTCCCCTGACGAGAGAGATGGACATGGTCAAACAAGAAGGGGCTCCCACCAAGTGCTGAAGATCTGTCAGTGCAGGGGCCTTATTCCTGCATTCATTATGAACAGGGGACACACCTCAGACACAGCCAAATTAAGCTCTGCATCAGCTCTCCCAAGCAACAGGTTCTCACCCGACTTCTTTGGGGCTGTTAGGGCTCAGCAGAAGCACCAGGATCAGGGCCGGGCTCTAGCTGGAGCTCGACGCTGATCCTGGCACTTCTGCTGAGCCCTGACAGCCCAGAACAAGAGCCAATCAGGTGGAGCTGGGCGCTGATCCTGGCACGTCTGAGCCCAGAAGAAGAGCCGATCAGCTGGAGCCCTGCCCCTACTCTGCAGAGGGCAGATCCCCATCACCCCCAGCCCAGCAGGGGTCTTCCTGCTGCACCGTTTCAGACAAAGGGGGGCTCCAGTGAGGAGGAGGTGGAGGAAGAGGATTTAAGCAAGCTTAACAACTGGAGTGGAAATCCCCCCCCCCCAAAACAAAGGTACTTCATGGGTAACCTCCCAGCACGACGGTTTTCGTTCTCGTGAGCATTGGCCGTCCCACCTGACTGGCTAATGAAAAAGCAGACGTCGTCGCGGAAGACGGGAGTATTCCTGTCCAGGAAGTCACTGGCCAGCTCCACCATGACAGGCAGTTCGGTCAGTTCTTCCAGCACTTGGCGAGTCTGGGGGAGCAAGGAGGGAGAGGACAGGGAGGGGAAGAAGCAGAACATAAGATTAAACTAAAGCATATTTTTCTGCATATTATTTATTCCACCCACAGGCTGGTAAATTAACGATCTCATAGAAGTTCTTCCTGTTTCAATAGTTCCAGAGTCTAACTGTTCAAAGCCTCAGAATGAGGCGCTTGGCAGTAGCAAAACACCAGTGAAACACATAAAAAGGACACAAGGCTTCAGCTACATGATTGTGGGTGTCATTTTGATTTTTGGGGACCCCCTGCGTACCATCGGAAAAAACCTGGAGTCTCAATAGCATGACTGACATTTTCCTGGCCCAGGGCATTGCTAATAGTTCAAAAACTTGGAAATGTTATTTGAGTTCAGCTACTCACAGCAACGCCTGCATGGTAGCTTGTCCCACAAGCAATGAGGATCAGGCGCCGGCATCGCTGAATCTCCTTGATGTGGTCTTTCAGGCCCCCAAGATTCACTGCCATAAATAACAATGCAAAGCCTTGAGGAAAATGGCCCAGAGAAAAGCAGGACGGCTTCAGTGCAAAGGATCCTGCAGGATTTTTCTAGCAATTCTTACGAAAGGCTCCCAAAGAGAATTGGTCAGTAACAAAATATGCTCCAAGCCTGCCAAAGCAACCTCCAGAGACAAACAGCACAACAGCCAGAAGTATTGATCACGGGACAAGTTGGCTCACAGCAAGTTTACTAGTCAAGATCCACCACAGTGGAAGAAAAGAACTTGCTCACAAGCAGAGAAGCAGAGTTATCACCATGTTCCAGTGTTAGAAGAACATCTACAGAATTTCTCTGTGAATGAAATCTATCTTAAACCACAAACCATTTTTGGAAAGACAGGGTTTTGTGTAAAAATCTGATTTTCTGAGCAGAAGACAATTTGGAAGCTTTTACCTGTGTAGTCATCAAAGTTAACTCTTCCCCTCATGGTGTTCACAACAGATTCTGGTTGCTCAAATATTTCCTTTTGCATGAATGAACTGAAGTTACCTGGAAAGAACAAAAGGAAATTCATTAAATAGAGGCAACATTGTCATTCTCATTTTGAAATGCAAGCCACCCTCGGTCCAATTCTACATCCATAACACAACAACAACAACAAAAAACCATTTTGCTATTCTGAAAATGCAAAATTAACATTGGAGAGGAGGACCCATGATTGGACAATTAGGAAGAGTTCATGAAAGGATCTGAATTCCAGCTGAACAGTTATGAAAAACTCACCTTCAACAGGTCTACATAACAGGGCCAAATGGGTCCTATCTGAGGACACCTGAAGGAACCTTCTAAGGATCTAGCCAATAGGTCACAGTAGAGCAAGATGGTAGCTTTACACATGAAGGAACTGTGAACTCATCAGAAGCAGCCTGGCAAACTAAACATTTGGGAAGACCAAGCCCTCAATCCATACCCTTCATGATCTGCTGTAGCTCCATCTGCAAGGTTTGAACTGCCCGGCCAGGGTGATCTCCAGCAGTTCGCTTGATCCGATGTATGGAGAGGCGGCCCTCCACTACGGCTGCCACATCATCATCTTCTAGAAAAATCACCCTGTTGGTGTGTTCAATCACAGCGCTGTGAGAGAATGGTTGAGAATGGGTTAACAACTCTTGAAGGAACCCACAAACCAGTTTAGAATGGGACGCGTATCAGAAAAAAAGGTTTTTTTTAAAAAAAAGATGCCAAAACCAAGTGAGATCTAGAGAATTTATACCATTATTTGTACTCCTTATATCAACCATGCCTACCAAAGTGATACTCAAATGCTTAACTTAAAATTCACGTGAAAGTAGGGTGATTTATGAAGGAGAACCATTAATGATAAATCTTCAATGTTCACGTAAACTTTGTTATTTCACCAAAAGGGACTTTCCAGCTTCACTTCCTACTTCTTCTGTCTCTCCTCTAAGGCAGAGTTCCCCAACCTTTCCGGCTTTGCGGACCGGCAAGGGATGGGGGAGAGTTCCACACACACAGCTCCATTTGTGTGAACAGCAGGCACTCACGCATGTGCACAAAGCTCCATTTGTGCGAATGGAGCTGCGCGCCCGTTTGCCTGCTGCTTGCTGGGCCTGGTTCCCGACAGGCCGTGGCCCAGGTTCCCGACAGGCCGTGGCCCAGTACTGGGCCACAACCCGGGAGTTGGGGACCCCAGTATTAGGGAATTATCTGCCTGAGACTCTTCCAAATGAGTTATGTTACTGCTCAGAGTTATTTTATGATGGGAGGCCATACAAATCTTATGAATGAATGAATGAATGGACGAATGAATGAATGAATTTAGCCATGAAATGAGCTATTATCTGCAGCAAGTTTTCTCTCTCCAAAATATGCTAAAATAAGAAAGCAAGGCCTTTGTGGGATAAATCTCGCCAGTTTCCACACGTGACCCCAGATCAAACGATGCTACTGACGTCCAGACAATTTGCTGTCAAAGGATACTAGCCGTGTCCTGTGGGGAAATCAGAGGGGGTGGTCTCCCTCGGCATTCCTGCTCTCCTCCCCCCCCAAATGGAAAAGCAGGAAGAAATCAGCCCTTCCCTTCCTGGAAGTGGATCCTGCTCTGGTAATAGAGGGGGAGGGGACCAGGTTACAGCCCCCAAGTTGGAAAGCTGCCCCCCAAACTTTCACTACAGATAGTCCTTGACTTACAACCATTTAGTGACCTTTAGAAGTGACAACGGCACTGAAAAAACCTGACCGGTGACCGCTTTTCACACTTACAACCATGATGGTCTCCCCGTGGTCACCTGATCAAAATCCAGCTGCTTGACAACTGGCAAGTGCTTATGGCGGTCGCAGCGTCCCTTTGGGGTCACGGGATCCCCCTTTGCAACCTTCTGACAAGCAAAGTCAATGGGGGAGGCCAGTTTCACTTAACAACAGCGTTAATAGCTTAATTGCAATGATTCACTGAACATCTGTGGCAAGGAAGGTCATAGAACAGGGCAAAATTCACTTAACAACTTAGAAACGGAAATGTTGGGGCTCAATTATGGCCATAGGCCAAGGACTCCCTGTGCTTGAAAAGACTGACAGATCTCTTTAATGGCTGAGGATGTAGCCTCCCTCCGGGAAGGGAGGGCCCAGGCTGCCAGCCCCTCCCTCCTCTGGGAACCCTCTCCAGCGCCCTCCGCAGGTGCCACAGACCTGGCATCCGAGGCAAAGTAGTACTCCACGGCCTTCTCCTCCACGGGAAAGAGGCAGGTGGTGCTGTCCATGCGAGAGAGGCTGCAGGTGCCCTTCTTGTCTTTGCCTGCAACACCAGAGACCCTCATCAGACCCATGAGCCCCCGTGGTGGCCGTGGGGCTCTTCTCGCCCAGCTGCAGCTCCAACATGAAGCTTCCCTTCTCAGCCCTCCGAGGCAGGAAGGCTTCCCCAACAGGAGAGCCTCCTTCAGACATCAGCAGGACAGGTGCAGGAGGTGACTCTGTAATGCCCGCCCTGCCTCGGTTAGGGAGGGAGGAAGTGGGGCGAGGGGGGTGTCCAAAAAAGTCAATGCGGAGGCTGCAACGGCACCATCGAAGCCCCACCATGGGTTGGCTTTGATCACCCGGCGATAGAGGCCATTCTGACTTTTCCAAAACCCTCCCTGCTCCCCCATGGGACAATCACATCAAAAGGACCGCTCAGCTGGTTGGGACACCCCCGTCTATCTTGATCAAAGTCAGGTTGTCAGCCAAGCTCAATTAAAAGAGTTTTTACAGGGGACATTTTTTAAAAAGCAAAGGGCCAGTTATCCTTGTCAGCAAAAAAACAGCAGCAGATCCTTTGGGGTTCCCAAACTGGAATTTTGCTCAGGGAGAGTCATAAAGTCCCATGTCTGGTGGGAATTGCCCATGAGTGCTGATTGCTAGATGACTTCTCCGTCATCCAGGTCACGGTTGTCCCAAACGGGCTTTTCAAAAGGCAACTGGACTTTTTTGTGTTTTTTTTCTTTGAAAATGTTTTGCTTCTCATACAAGAAGCTTCTTCAATTCTTGGAAAAAGCACCTTTGGGATTGCTAGAGAGGATGGACAGAATGGATAGTTCGTGCTAAGAGGGACAGAAATAATAAAAAAAAACTACACACCCAGAGAGAGAGAATATATCAAAAGTCAGGCCTCTGGGCCAATCCCAACAGGCTTTAATTTTTCCCCCAGAGTGAATGTTGCTGTACTTGGGAGTGTTCAAAGGCCCTGCCTCAAACGAGCAAGGAAGTGCTTAGAAGAACGTGGCAAGCATATTCAGGCATTGAATGTGATTTGTGTAACACCCTGTCTGGAGGGCCTGTCTTTTAGGAGGCCAGGAATGACAGGGGAGTGGCCTGCTCTCAGATCGCCTGCCTGCCGTTCTTGGGGAGGGGGCAGGAGAGCAGGGGGGGGGGGAAACAAGCGGCCCGCCCTTCTCCAGGCAGGGCTTAAGGGAGAAATTCATGGGGTTATCTGGGTTACCCTTCCCCATAGTGGTACAGCCTCCCCAAATCAGAGAAAATATCTAAATATGTGAGGAAGCCAATGAATTTTTTTTTAAGTGGGAGCTGCTGCTGTTCCTTAAAGACAGAATACCTTTGTCCTTCACCTCAATGAATTTCCACCAGAACTGCTGAAACCTTTTCCATTTTGATCACGATTAGCCAGCCAAGAGTTACAAAGAGCATCAAGTGCATTAATGCAATCTGGAGGACAGCATGAAATCTGTGCGGAAAGCGGCTTCCTAAGCCAGGAGGTCAGTGCCAGAGGCCGATCCAGCCCCCTCCCACCAGTAGCAAACATCAGGAGACAGGAGGGAAATGAGATCAGGGCAAAGAAGGACAGAAATGAATCTGGGAAGTGGAAAACCCCATCACAAGAACGGCATGCAAATTTCCCCCACACACGAAACCTCTTTAACGGGGTTCCTCCTGCTTTCCAGCAAACGTACAAGGTGAAAAGGGGCGCCCCTGTTCCTTGGCCCCCAGAAGCATCACTGACGGTCCCCATTCCGGAGAACAGCCAGAGAGGCGGAAACGGAATATGCGGTGCAGGGCCTGCTCCCTGTCTCAAGTGGAAAGCAGTAAACCACTAATTAAAAAGGTTGTCCGTGTTTTGATTTATTCTCTGAAGCACAAGAGGACTGGTAAATTAAAAGTTTGGTCTCCAGCACCTTCTTCCAGTTTTTTGGACACGCCATCAAATGAATGATCTACAGACTGGGTGGCTGCAAGGGTGACACGAAAAGCAACTTCAGAAACTCATCAAGAGCAACAGGAATCTCAGCAAGGTCAATTTAGCATCCAAACCCTGAGCAGCTTCCTCATCTGGGAGTCCCTGAGACGGCAGCTGCTAGGAACACGCTGGCCCATAGTGGTAGGAATTGGGGTCCCCACCCAACGTGCAAACCGGGAAAGGGGGGTTTAAGTTAGGAAATCAAACAGAAAACACTGTAGGCGGTGGTGCATGGAATTAGTACAACTACTCCAGGCCAAAAATGTCAAATTCTCTTCATACACGGATGCAAATGTCTCTGGTGATTAAAAAATGGAAGAAAAAAGTACCGTATTTTACAAACAAAGCAATATTTTTGCCATCTTCATTTCAGCCCCTGACCTGGCAGCGTTCTTCATTAGTGAAAATATGAACACAGGCAGTCCTCAACTTGCAACAATTCATTTAGTGACCGTTCAGGTTATAATGGCACAGAAAAAAAGTAACGCATGACCGTTTTTCACACTTTTCACAACCACTGCAGCAACCCACAGTCACACCATCAAAATTTGAACATTTGGCAACTAGCGTGTATTGGTGTCGTGTGTGTGTGTGTGTGTGTGTGTGTGTGTGTGTGTGTGAGACGTGATCTCCTTTTGCAACCTTCTGACAAGCAAAGTCCATGGGGAAGCCAGAATCACTCAACAACTGTGTTAATATCTGAACAATTGCACTGATCCCCTTAACAACTGTGGCAAGGAAGGTAGTAAAATGGAACAAAACTCACTTAAGAATTGTCTTGCTTAGTAATGGAAATTTTGGTCTCAGGTTTAGGCATCAGGGACCTCAGGGAATTCCTCTTAGAGCTGCCCCTGTCAAGTTCCCTTCAGGAGGACGTCTCAAGCAGACTCACGGGAAGATGGCCTGCCCGTCATGGCTTCCAGAGTTCAAGAAGGGAAATCCATTTTGCCCTGACTTCTACCCCCAACGTCCCACTGTGCTAGTTGCAAAGTTATTTCACGCAGCGGTTCAGATGAGCTGCTACAGAGGCACTAACAACACGGAAAACCAGAGCATCCGCTCAGGGGGACATACCTGTCCGGTACAAGATCGGGATGTGGTCGGTGGAAAGCTTGTGCTCGCTCCGAACCCCGATGAGCAGAGGGCTTCCTCTCCTGGAAAACAAAAAAGGGACCCTCGGTTGAGATGGGCAGCAGCAGCCATTGGGGAGACTTACTCATAGTTTACATCCTGAGCAACTACTCAGCCCTGGTTATAGTGTGGCAGGCTCAGGTGCACCACTAGCCATGGCTAAATCTTATCAACTCTGTGCAAACCGTCCAGATGGGAGAAAGGAACGACAGACTGGCGCTCACCTCGTGCCGACCGCCTGGCCTGGATAATGGACGCTTTTGAAGACAAGAGCGAACGCCCCCTCCTGCGTGGGGACAGGAAAGAAAAGCAGGCATTGAACGTCCTTCCGTTCAGCTCCACGCAGAGAGACACCCCCAATTCCACGGCACTGAACATGTAAGAAGCCCGACCAGGCCCTTTCTGATTTCAAAGAAGTTATTTTAGGAAAAATAAATAGTCAGTAGAGACTTAGACTTGCCTTCCTTCTAAACAAGCACAGATGTGCACAGAAGTATGTTACACTCTTTTTAATTGTTTCACTTAATGACTGCAGCATCCACTTACTTGGGCAGCCACCTGTCTGGAATGGTATAGGGCAGGGGTTCTCAACCTTGGCAACTTTAAGACTTGTGGACTTCAACTGAAAGGGACCTTGGAGGTCTTCTAGTCCAATCACCTACCCAAGACAGGAGACCTCATACCCTTCCAGTCCCGTCTCTTCTTAAAAAACCTCCCTCGATGGAGCACTCACAACTTCTGCAGGCCAGCTGTTCCGCCGGTTAACTATTCTCACACTCTTGCTTGATGGTGGGCTCAACAGAGCCCGACCCTCTATTATTAATCCGTATCAATGGTTTAGCAAAATATATTTCACCTAGACCAGTGGTTCTCAACCTGTGGGTCGGGACCCCATTTGGGGTCGAATGACCATTTCACGGGGGTCGCCAAACAAGGCTGTCTGCCATTTTTTCCCCTTTTCTTTGGCCACGACCCTGGCACCCGGTGATGTATAAGTGGTTGGGGGTCACCACAACATGGGGAACTGTATTATGGGGTCGCGGCATTAGAAAGGTTGAGAACCACTGACCTAGACTGTCCAGTGATTTCTGTAAAACTAGGAAAGTACCAGCTGTTTGATGACCCTCTCCACCAAGGTGGTGAAACTTATGTCGTCGCTCTCGCGGTTGTCATACATGTACTTGACGAGCTTTGCGATGGTTTCTGTATCGGTTTCCGACTCAAAGTCATAGCCTTTGCTCTCCTGAAAACACAAAAAAGGAAAAGGAGGGCTAGTTTCGCACCTGGATCAGGAAAGAGGAGCAACAAGCGTGAACAGCGTGACAGATGTGGTTCAGTCGAGATCAACCGGGAGGGGTGGAAAAGATGCCGTGCCCAACTTTGGAAGAACCTTGGATTCATTTGGGACAAGACCCCAAGCACGAGCCCTGTTTTTAAGGGGTCATACAAAATACAATCCAAGGAGCCTGACTTACCAAGAACTTTTTCAGGTCTTTGTAGTTTGTGATTATTCCATTGTGGATAACAATAAATTCTGAAAGGAAAAGAAACATCCGAGGCTGTGATCAGAACCCATGCCACAAAAGAAGAAACACGGAAAAGAAATAGCTCCTTGTTCCAAAAAGTCTTTATGCGGGAAGGCCCTAAGAGAGGGGAGGGAGGGAGCATCAGGCAGCCAAAGGCAGAGAAGTGGCCTAAGAATTACAGGTGGTCCTCGAGTTACGACCACAAACTGAGCCCCAAATTTCTGTTGTTGTTGAATGAGACATTTGTTAAGTGAGTTTTGCCCCATTTTAAGACCTTTCTTGCCACAGTTGTTAAATGAATCACTGCAGTCGATCACTTAGTAACCCGGTTGTTAAGTGAATCCGGCTCCAGAGAATTGTTTAGGCTAGCATACCCTTTGCTACAGTAAAAGCCCCCATACCCACCCTACAAATCCCCCCCCCAAGAAAGCCACTTTGTGATCCCGGTTCCAGCCTACCGTTGTCTTTGTCCGATCTCTGTGGGTGGCTGTTGACCGGATTAGGCTCGCCATGGGTGGCCCAGCGGGTATGAGCAATTCCAAGATGCACATCAAATTCAATGTCCAGATCTAAATCCTGCTGTTCTATGGAGAGGGGAAAAAATATTTTTTTCATTGTAAAGGCTTTTTTATACTGGTCACTGAAAGAGGAAGAGGCAGCAGTTACAGTCTCTTGTCTGGTTAGACTTAAATTCACTGATTTCAGAATTACAGGCATCGATGCAGCAACGAAGCAGGACCTCCGGAATATTTGTTGGGGTTTTTTGGTATAATGCTGATTATGCTGTAAGTAAAAAAGAGAAGAACAAACCAAGAACGAAAGAGACAGCACGGAAGAAGAAAAACAGCCAGATCCCACAGCTGCCACCGTCCTCCCCCATCACCCGAACCACGGGAGACACACAGCCTCGGATCTTGTGCTCGTGCAAAATGCTTCCTATTACGGGTCTCGATCTTGGCTCTCCAGAGGGAAAATAAACTCTTACTCAGGATTATCAAAAGTTACATTACTGGCAGTTGGTATGGTTTTGTTTTTCATTGGTCTTTATGTTTTATGATATACGCTGCCCAGAGTCGCCTGTTGGAATGAGTGGCTACAGAAATCAAATCAAATCAATAAACTGAACTTTATGGACAGTGCTATCCCTGGCCCATCTGCTACGTCAGGGCCTTTTTTTAATGCAGCCCCCAAAATGAAAAGGAGGAAAACGAGACTTACTGTTGACTTCTTCATCCAAAGCTTTCACTTTCCCTTTCTTCTTAATGAGCGTGATCTTGCCAGCGTTGGGCTCCCAATCTTTGTCGTTGCCGCCATCAATCCCAACACCTACCACACAGCAGGGAAGAAAAGGAAGAATGGCAGGCAAAGCCACAGCTTCCCTGGCAGGATTAGTGCACACATTCCAGAACACGTTAAAGGGCATCTGAATATACATAGACAGCTTTGTAGAAATACCAGTGGTGGAACTAAGCATTGGGGTTCAATATGGAGATCAACATAACATCTTAACATAGACCTCTGAAGGAGATCTACCTGGAAGGAGATCAAAAAAAGTGTCTGATTTTCAAGAACCGCAGAGATGAAATGGTTCTATGTGATCGGCAGACTTGAGTGCTTGCATGCAGCTCCCTTTGTGCGAGCAGGGGCACTCACACGCATGCATGAAGCTCCATCACACAAATGGAGCTTCACACATGCACACAAGTGGCCACCACTCACACAAATGGAGCTGCACATGAGTGCTCGCCCATCGCGTGTGCGGCTGTGTGGTCCAGTTCCGAACAGGCCCTGGCCCAGTACTGGGTCACAGCCCAGGGGCTGGGGACCCCTGATCTAAACTACAGTTTAGCTTGAAATGCAGTAACGAAGGCAAAGCAAGCCATGTGTAAATGGAGTTGGCAAACATTGGTTTCTGCTTGTAATATAATCTGAACCAGGAGCCACTACTCTAATATGCAGACCACACAAAGAAGTTCAGGATGCAAGTGAACCATCCATCATACAAACAGCTTACCTGCAGAGTCATATCCTCGATACTCGAGTCTCTGAAGCCCCTTGATTAGGGTCTCCAAGATCTCCCGTCTGGTCCGGGGAACATGGTAATTCAGGTAAGCAAAGATACCTAAAAGGTTATTTAAAATGGGAACAGGAACAACATTAAAGTAATTCCTTGCAGGTCTAACATATTAATAGTTAGTCTCATTGGCAAGTACAGTTAAGCCTTATTAGTAGCATATCTAAGCCAGTAGTACTTTTAAGCTAGGGATCTCCAAACCTGGCAACTTTAAGACTTGTGGACTTCAACTCCCAGAATTCCTCAGCTAGGATAGCTGGCTAAGGAATTCTGGGAGTTGAAGTCCACAAGTCTTAAAGTTGCCAGGTTTGCAGACTCTGATCTAAGCAATGGCTCCTTAAACTATACAGATCAGTAATACCTTTTTATTTTATTGAGGTGGACCCCAAAACAGTAATTTTTAATGCTTTTAAATATATTTTTTTTGGGGGGAAAAAACAGGACAATCTAATAGTCCATCTCCAGTTCACATGACACATTCAAAGCTGAAGCATTCTGAACTGGATGACATCTAAATCAAGTAAGGCAATCCTTAATATGCGGGAAGAACGTCTTATTATAAATGCAAACTCCTCTTCCAACTCTATCCAAGCAGATCCTCCCAGCATTTGATGCTCAAGGATGGCTCTTGGTTTGGGGCTTTGGCTTCCTGGAGATGCAATGACAAGAGTTTGCGGCCATTTTTGGCTTGGAATTAAGGACAGCTATGACTTTCTGGATGGGCAGAATTTAAGAAGGATCCTAAAGGTCACTGCTTCCTTGGCTCATAATCCACAATTTTCTCCATATTGCATGCATTTTCTAATGAAGTTCCAATGCAGCAACATCCTCCTGGCTAGAAGCCTGTATCTTTTCATCTATGGCAGATATTTGAACTGGGTGCAATTGAGAATCTTCCAGTGGACAAACCAGCTGTAGGATAATTTTTGCCCCGGGAAGAATCTGGAACCTCTTCCATCTTTGTTGACACATTAAAGATGCAGCACAATGACAGAGATTTCCTTTGTGATAGGCAAAGTTTTGGAGAAAATCAGAGAATTAAACAATGCATTGGCATTTTTAGATTAATGATATTTCAGAACAATGGGCTGGTCTACCAACAGATTATGATTGATCTCAAATGGAAGGATAAAATAATAGCAACAGCTGCACAGAATTGTTGAAAGATATGCGAAGTTAATAAATAATTTTAGTTCGTTGCCAGGGTGATTGAATACACTTCCTTCACAGAACAATAAACGCTATTGAGGCAACTACACTTTACTAGAATCAAACTGCTACTTACGAAATGATGATATATTATACAATTACAATTTTTTCTGCTACTTCCTCCTATTTTCAGTACAGAGTTTCCCAATTATTCCTCAGAACATGTTTATTCTAAATTTAGTTATTTGCAGTATTAGATATATAAATTCAGTTTACTTTGACTTTTGCCTGTAAATATTTTACAAATCACCGAAGCAGCTGACACCTCAAGGCCGGGACACAACAGACAGTTCTGCATTTTCTAGCAATCCAAAGTATAAAATATAAATGACGTAAAAAAAAATATAAGATCAGCAAAACATTGAACACTGCCAGCTCCTCTCTGTAGGTCACCTGCCCAGAAGATGCAAATGGTGCCCACGGCAGCAGGTCCACTGCCCTGGAGGTGCAAAGGGCAGGATTTTCAGAACACCCGAAGAGGAAGAACTGCACCGCTTGTTCACTCTTTCTGCGCACCTTGTAAGGTGCAAACGTAAGCCCAACAAAGACCATTCAGATCTGCAGGGAAGCCTCTCCATGGAAATCTTTAGTAAAAAGCGAAAGATGTACAGTACACTCTGTGATTTACGCATACAATATATGAACAAATAAGTGTACAAAATACAATGATCAAATGTTTACCAATGTTAATAAATGCATTTCTAGATTTTTTTTAAAAAAAAAGATCTGCAGGGGAGCCTTGCTGAAAATGTCCAAGGGGTTCTGGAGGGGCTCAGAGGAGAGGGCCTTCTCCCCAACATGAGGAATTGCCCTCCTCCTGCAGTAGCATTAACCCCCCCCCCTTTTATTACTGTCTATGTATTCCATTAGGAGCCAAAAGTGACATGGCACAAGCTCAATCATTTATTTACTCATAACTTATTTCCTGCCTTAGGAAAGTAACCAAGTCTGTCTCTTTCATCCTGCTTTTAACCGAAATTCCACTCTTATTTCACACCAATGAGTGTTGAATAACCACTGATTTAAAAAAAATCATTCCACCTTTAATATTCTAAGAAAAACTGCTACGATGCTTTGATTAACGTGACTTTACAAGATTTACTCCACCTTTTATGTTTCCAATAATTTAAACCAACCAAGACAATAATCTCATAAAGTGACGATCAGCATTAGAAAATGCTATCCACAGCATATTCAGCAACAATAACATTATTAGAAGTTGTAATGCCGCACACAGCTGCGCTTCCTGTTTAGGGGAGACAAAACCCACAACCCAGCTCTATTTTGACAGTAGCAGCAGGACTTAAAATGTATTTATTTATCCGAAACATTTATATAGCCACCCATCTTACACTGACTTTTACACGGCACTCAACAAAATACATTATGCTGTCCCAAAAGAAGCAAAATAACAGCAATAAAAATAAATCCATATGCTTTTTTGATACCTCGCCACCATTCTATTTTCGGTCTAGCCCAAAATATTCAAATTGCTTTAATGTTATTCAAATGTATTTAAAAGGATGCATTGGGGGACAAAGTACAGTACAGGCTGCCACAGAACAGGCAAGGCCTACAATGAATTTGAAAACACAATGACAGTCTACTCATCGGAGTTATTTATAGTACCAATTGCCTCTTCTATTGTTAGCATTCTCACAGTTGCCAGTTGCCCAGGGAAATCACATCCTAATTCAACCCTCACTCACTCCCCCTTGCCCCTTATTTGAAAAACATACACAATTAAATACAGAAGCTGGTTTTGGCTCAGCTTCCATCATCGGGATGCAGAGGGGGGCTGCCTGCCATCTTAGGAACTCAGCATACCTGGCTTAGTGATGTGTAAAGGCACGCATTGTGAGAAAAAATGGTTTATAGCTTAGTGATGTGTGAATCCAGGCTTTTGCAACAAAGAGCTTCGTACAGGTAATCCTCAACTTACATCATTCATTTAACAAGCGTACAAAGTTACAAGGCTGAAAAGGGGATTTACAACAGGTCCTCACGCTTACAATGGTTGCAACATCCCAAGGCCACGCAACCATAATTTGAGCGCTTGGTAACCGACATGTATGCACCATGATGGGCATCTCAGGGCCTTGTGATCACCATTGCAAGCTTCCTGGCCGACTTCCGAAAAACAGTTACTGAACGACCACAAAATTCAGGTGACAACTGTGGCAAAAAAGGTTCATGGAACGGGCCACGACTGAGTTAGCAACTGTCTTGCTTGGCAAAGGAAATTTCGGTCCCAACTGGGGTCATAAGTTGAGGACTGCCTGCAGTGACCACCAAGTGAGCAGGACCACAAAGCTGTGAAGTCGGTAAGCTAGTGGTGATGAAGTGGGGAGAAGAGGGGTTAGTGGATGCACGTAGGATCCTAAATAAAGGAGGACCGCAGAGAGTAGATGAGAAAACCCAGTTCTTTTCCCAATTCCTGTTTTGCCTCCCATGCACGTCCACACAGACACACACAAGTACGCAGCCCACCCACTCACCTTGTCCCCAGCCACTGAGACGACCCCTCCCTCACACCTGCCCTGGCCTGCAACAGGGAGCCCAAGCCTTTGGTCTCGCCCTGCCTCGCCTGGGGGAAAAACGAGCTCTTTTGAAACCACAACCAAGTGGGGAGATGCTAAATGGTGTGTTCCAATATACAACACATGCACACGAAGAGAAAGCACGTATCAGGGATCCAGTGCCTCCAGGCTACATTCCAGGAGCCGCTCGCCCCAGGTGAAGGCTCCCGGGAGATCTCATCTCCTCCACCCTCGGGGCCAAAGTTCTCTCCCTTTCACTCCGCAGGGAGAGCAAACTCGGGTCCTTTCCGAGCATTCAGACGAGCAGGAAATCCCGGACGGCACAAGGCTGCCCCCCGGGACTGACGAGCCGACGCCGGTCGCGAGGGAGACCCTCCTCAAAAGGGCCCCCCTAAAGTTCATCGCGGGAGCCCCGGTCCCCGGAAAGCCACAGAAGCTCGCCAGAGCCTTGCAGACACGCGTCGGACGGTTCCCACATTTCTGGACACCCTTCCGCGGATGAGGGGGGTTGATGCCTCCCGGGTTGACCTGCAGTGGTTGGGTTCACACGGTCCGCGAGTCTCGTGTCCGCGCGAAGCTCAGACCCCTAACTCGGAGGAGCAACACTCTGCACATGCCCCAGAGGAAGAGCGCGCTGGGCCGAAGGGGCTCCATCACGAGGACCGAGGGGAGGCCGGACCCTCCCCGTCGTCACCGTGAGGGCACTCTGCACACGCTCGGGAGACTCACCACACATAGCGCCGTCGCTACTGCCCGCTGCTGCTGCCGGGTGGCGGGTCTGCGGCTGCCGAGCTGGGCGGGCGCGGGGAGCATGCGTAAAACCCGCGTCGCCATTGGCTCGCGTGCGGAGGCAGGCCGTCCGACGCCCCACCCACGGCCACTGGCTCGCTGGCGCTGGGGACGTGGCAGCCGGATCCGCGTCCGCCAGGAGGGAGCTTCTCTGGGCGGGCGCAGCCTACCTGACGGCGCTTCCTGGTCGGGGGCTTCCCTGGCCTGAGGCGACGCGCCCGCTTGGAAGAGGGGATGACCCGTCCCCCCGAAGCCCTCGCCGGGGTAGTCGCAGGGCAGCGGGGGAACCGGGAAAAAAGCCGCCCGCCTCACTCCTTGCAACCCACGAAGTCAAATTGGGCTTCTCGGGATGCTAGAAGGGGGCGTTTCGTGCGTTTTTCTAAAAGAGGGGTGCGGGGATGCGATGAAAGGGCTGGGCTCAGCTATCCGGGGTTCGGGCAGAAGCCCCTGCGCCCGCTCCCGACTTTCTCTGCCCTGCTGAGCCCTGTATTATTGAACCATGATTTAATCAGACATCTCTGGGCCACGTGCCATGGCTTAAAAATGATTGCTTCTGGTTCCAAGTCTGAATTATGGGGCGATTGCAATGGCTGCATTTTTGCAATGCCCTTGCACTTTGATTTCCTTAATCCAATTTTCTGAGATTGCACCATCAGCTGACTCACCCTGAAATATAGTTTTCTAAATTCTGTTTCAATCTGTCCTGCAAGGACCTCTGAGGTCTGAACCCACCAACTGGTGCAGCTATAAGAATTATTTATTTATTTGAATGTTTAAGCAGCCCCTCTCCAATTTATCCATCTCTTGTGTGCGTGTGCGCACGTGCGTCAAAACTATGAATCCTTTCAATAAAGCTCTCAAGACTGCAATTTGGTGCACATTTTGCTAGAGATCACATTGTATTTACTGAATTTATCCCCTACTCTAGCGCAGTGGTTCCCAACCTTTCCTGCTTTGCGGACTGGGCTGTGGAGGGGAGAGGAAATGGTTCTGTATGAACAGCAGTTGTGGAACTTGCACACAACTCCATTTGCATGAGCAGCGGGCAGTCACACAAATTGAGCTGCACACAGTGCTTGCCTGCCATTTTCACAACAGTTCCGAATGGGCCATGGCTCGGGAGTTGGGGATCTCTGCTCTAGTGGAATATAGGAGGGAGCTTCAATTTCTTCCTAGCTTATATGGGTGAAGCTTTGAGTACTTGATCAATTCAGAAAATTTAACATCTCTTCCACTTTCTTCCAATCTGTCCTGTCCAATCACTTTCTGTTAATGTGCGAAACATTGGGGGAAAGTTTTCCAGGATTCCTAGCATTGAAAAAGCAGACAGAACTCATACATGGTGAGATTTCATTCCTTCCTATTTCTCTCTCTTCTGAATTTCCCCAGCAACTGCCACCATGTTCATGCGATATACTTTCTCCTCTTTGCCCCCAACTTCAAAAAAGCTACCCCAAAAACTGGTCCTGCTGATCCTTTAAAGGCTGGTCCGGGGTGGCATGTGCTTGGCAGCTGACTCAACTGGAACAATCCACACAGAAGCAGACAGGAGAGCAAACACATTTCATGCCAGGGAAGTTCACTGCACAGGAGGAAGTGTTTGCTTTTGTGATCTGGAAGTAGTGCTTGAACAGGCAGGCGGCAGCTAGAAAAAGATGACCAGGTTGCTGGCTCCTGGAATGGTCAGCTGTTGCTGAAACCAATAACTCTTGCCACCTAACTTGCCCATAAATATAAATCTCGGCATGAGAATGAAGAACTCCGGGAAAGAGGCTGCCTGGGTTTTAAATCACTTCTGAATCGACTCTCAAGGGTCAGTTTCTTGGATTCTCTGTGTTCCCTTTCCAGATCTGATATTAAGCCTTGTAAGCTCATCCACCCACATGGCAGCAGAGAGCTCTTCCATCTGCTGGCAGCCTCTGGAACCAGCGTCCACTGGAATTAGTGCTGGAGCTTATCTGGTTGTCAAAAGGGGCTCAAACGGTTTCTCTTGTGTGAAATTAGTGAAGTTGGTTCTTAAGCATCCACTCTTGCATACGCATCCCCACTGCAGCTAGGTAGGGTGGTGTCCTATTCTTACTCACAGGGAGTATTTTAGCTCTCCATTCAATTGACAGGTCTCCCCGGCTCCCTTCCAAAGATAGGAAACAGTCCGATCCAAAACACATGACTCCAAAGCAAAATGACCACGGTATTAGTAGTATTTTATTGAACCCATGGGCATTTTTAAAAAATGAAAAAATTTAAACCTCCTGATGAGAGCACAATTAAAAAAATTATTCTTGGAATCTAAGTACCAGGGGAAAAGTTTTTTTGTTTTTTTTAAAATCCAATGCTCTATGACCAAATCACCTCCAGAAAGTGATTACAGTGCAATGAGAGAAAGCCTGCTAAATAAATAGATGATTGATACTCAGGAAGATAACTGGAGATAAACTTGAGAAAAAATTGAATCCAAGGGAGGGAGGAAGTATTTCAGAAACTGTTAGGAACATGCCTATTCTGTATGCTTTCCTCTTTTTGCTCATGGAAAGCAAAGATGGGCCACATTTTTATTATTCGCTTGTTTTCTTATACAATGAAACAAAAATTGAATCGGCCCAATGAAGAAACTGCGTTTGGGCCAATTTAGACAAACCCACCAGCCAGATAATTTCTGCCCTCAGTCCAGGGCTCTCCCTGATTCAGGTTGACTTCACTTCTTTTTCTTCATTATCATCAACAACCTGAGAAGCAACAGGCAGGAAGGAAGTTACACCAAGAATATCAGAGCCCCCCAGCGTTGAGAACCAAGCCCTTTTAAAATAAGCACAACATTGGCACATAAAGGAACGTGTTGCTTATTGCAATCCTTTTCAAATCGGAACGGGGCTGGGCAACAGGGCTGACTCGAAGCAAGAGCAAACAATAGCAGACACAAAGCTAATCCTAGTCCTAAGGAGCCATTACAAGGTTATGCCTGACGTGTAATAAGCCATTCCTTGCAAGAAACCAACAGCTGAAATACAGGCAGTCTTTGACTTGTGACCACAATTGAGCCCACAATTTCCATTGCTAAATGAGACAGAAGTTAAGTGAGTTGTTAAGTGAATTGCTGCAATGGTTAAATTAGTCACACGGTTATTAAGTGAATCCGTCTTCCTCATTGACTTTGCAAAAGGGGATCACGTGACCCCAAAGGGACACAGCAACCGTCATAAGTACATGCCAGCTGCGAAGCGTCTGAATGTTGATCACATGACCATGGGGAAGCTGCAATGGTCGTAAGTGTGAAAAATGGTCACAAGCCACTTTTTAAAGTGCCATGGTAACTTTGGTCACTAAACGAATGGTTGTAAGCCAAGGACTGCCTCTACTGTAATTTTATCTTCTGGGTTGGAGGGAGGAGGGGTGGCCACCTGATTTGAAAGAGCAAGGCCACCGCATGGCACAGGTTCACACAATTTAGGCACTGGAGGCCAGCAACGTCTCCCAAGATAGCATCGTTCCCGTCTTGCCTGGCAGTGCAGGCAGCCTCCAAATTTGTTCAAAAAATTCTGAGGTTCTGATTTTAAAAAATCCAGAAGAAAACCCTAAATAGGTGTCGATCTCTATTTTAATTTTTTTCCCACACGGTGATGATTTGGGGGAACACTGAGAAGACAGGTGGAACACAGCACGTGTCCTCCCAAAGGGGCTTACCTGCTCCACACCTTCCACCTCTGGAATATAGAACTGCAGCATGTTTTGTATTCCGTTCTTTAATGTGACGATGGAGCTGGGGCAGCTGGTGCACGAGCCCTGCAGTTTCAACTGCACGATCCCGTCTTCAAAGCCCTTAAAGATGACATCTCCTCCGTCCTCCTGAACTGTTGGCCTGAGGAATATTAAGCCAGAGGCACTGAAACCCACAGCCACAAGTCTGCTATGGACAAAATAGCATTACGAGTAGCAAACGCTCAAATGTTTGCATTACGTCTCGAAGTAAAGCTCAGATTCTCGGCCAACACCCGGGCCTTTCTCCTCTCTTTTTACATAACCTTCTCTCTACCTTCCATGGGGCCTTGCTGATTCCTGGAGCAGCCTGCAGCTCGCTACGCCACCTTCCACTTCTTGTATTAGCAACTTTTTCCTAAGACATCTGAGCCAAAGCTGTGGATACTCTGTTTACTCCAAAGCAACCTCTCAGCCACGTAGCTCTTAACGAGAAAAGAATCTGGCAAAATTTAGTTGCGCAAATTTAATCAGCCCGCATAAATGTGCCATGTTTGCATTGTTTACTACATTCTGTCAGTGCCAATTGGGTTGAGATGGCCTGGAGAGTAGACAGTGTCTCCGTTTACGTGTTCTACTTCTGTTCCTACTCAATCCTACTCTGGCTCTGGAACTGTCACAGATCGAAAGATTTTAGTGGCCCAGTTAGAAATATGTAAAATTCATGCACTGGCTTGAATTCTGTAATTGAGAAACAGTAACTTTTAAGGTTAGTCTGTGAGCAACTGAAGAAGCTCCTTGGATGAGAAGCAAAATGTTTTCAAGAAAAAAACTAAGAAAGTCCAATAGCCTTTTGAAAAGCACCTTTGTGACTTCATTCCAATACTTTTACAGCAGGGGTGTCTGACTATTCAGGGAAGGTAAAACTCCATCTTTGTTCAAACTTCATTTTTTCCTCCTGAAAACTGAAATACTGCAGAGGCCAAATCCCAGAGGACATACTTCTCTCCAACGCATGGAATGAAAGCAAAAATTGTTAACTCGACTTTATACACAGGATCTTTTGATACCCATTTGCGTCTGCAATGGATTCATGGATTAACTTGGCAGAGGTCATATTTACCTCCACTTTTTATCGCCTGCTAACACCTGATGTGTCACCTCAGCTGTCAGAAGCTGAAGAATGAACACACAGGGCTTAACATGAATAATACTCCTTCAAGAATGCAGTAATTCCACTGCAATGAAAATCGGAGGCCTTCCTAGCTCTTGAAAGTAATAATGAATGTCCTGTTTGCACAACTAAGACATTTTAAAATCCTGTTAATATAGGAATGT